CAAGCAACCAAACTGATTTTTGAAGACGCTGTCATTTTGTACTTTCTTACTGTAATCTTAGGATAAAAATTCTCAACTTGCTACATGTTGAGGTCCCAATCGGAGCCATCACTACAGAGTGGTACCTAAAGGTCTAGGAAAGACATCAATACAAGGGAGATGTTGACGAAGAAACAGTAAAGACATTTTTTAGGAACCCATCATCAACAAGGTTAACTATAATTTATTACAATTCGATATTCGGTACTTTTCTTGAACATATGTTTCCGTTTTTTCCAGTAAGAAATTCTGAAAAACATTTACCAGTTAGAAAGACTGAAACTGCCGCATCCTACTTTGAAAGTCTAGATTGAATTGCACATACTTATTAGGATGGAAAAAGAATGAGGTAAAGCATGAATTTTTTCTTCCATCGGCTGATTTTTTTTTCGCATAACTTTCGCATCTAATAATATCGCATCAATCTTGCTAATGTACTTCCGCTATTCTTCTATAAACACCTTCCATTTCCAACTTTTTTGAATTTAGAAAAATACCTTTCCTTGCTCAACTTGCGCACTGACAATGAGCTGGAAGCTTGCCAAAAAAAATTTAAAAATTTGAGTTTTTTCAAAATGTTTACTCGAATATTCTTGCACGGAAAAACTGTTACCCTATTAACTGCTCTATTCAAAATTGATTTAAAAAAACGTTGGATTAAGACACTTCTAAATTTGATTTTTGAGAATAAAATAGTACATCTGCAATGCTTAAGATTCTTCCAGTAGCTGCAAACATCGAACAATTTCCTCTCATGCTCCCGGGCAGTATGCAAGTACAAGTGTTTGTTGACTTGAACTCTTTTTCCGCATATGGGCAATCAAGCGCACTACCGCAAGCGGATAATATTTCACAACAACTCGGATTCCCGGAAGTGCTCACTCCGCTGTTGATCTGACCCATTTCTTCTAACAAAAATTCAATTCCTTGTTAAAGAAGAACTGCTAGTAAGTGATTTTTGGACCACATTTCAGAATACGGAACGATAGTCCCTGAAACTTTTCTTCAAATAAATGTAATTGTTGAAATTCTATCAGCAGGATTCGCCCGCTTCCGAAAAGGTTCTGGTAAAAAAGACCTTTATAGCAATTTTGTGTATTGCTTCCTATTTTTCTCATTTTCATTTTCTGCTGGATACAAAAGCTACCGTTTGATTCACTCGCTTGACGGCTGGAAGGCGGGGCTTCGTGACCTAATTAAGGCTAGGTAACGATCAGAGAGTACGCGCGTGGGAGAGACACAGACCGCGTCGCGGGCGCGAGCGACCTTAGTTGGGTCAAAAAACCCTGCCTTCCAGCCGCCGAGCGTATCGAATCAAAAGTCAACTTCTTCGTAATTATAATTAACAAAAGAATTCTTGTTCGTGCAAAGTAAATTATGCACGATGCTTGTTTGTGATAGGCAGTAAATTCTTCCTACTTTGTTCCAAAGGACCTGGCTCATCCTCTCCTTTAAACGTACACTAAAGCTTTCCATTAATTCAAAGGCAGCCATCATTTGACGTCAATCTAGATTATGTTGGTTGACGAATGCACGTCGTTCCAATTTTGATGCACGATAGCCGAAAGCGTATTATGGATGCTGGTCCATTTCCAAAAAATTCTCACTTATGACAAATTGCACGAGACCCCAAAACAATAATAATTTTTGCTTTACACTACGTTGTTGTAGAGTTTTAGATCAAAGTGGAGCCGCAGAGTGGAGCACACTCCGCCATAAAGCCAAGATCTAACAATAAAGGTAACCCTCGATTCAACTGCGGAAAGAGGGGCTTTATGGCCTAATTAAGACCGCTCGCGCCCGCAGTCTGCGTCTCTCCCGCGCGCGTGATCCCTGATCATTACCTAGCCGTAATTAGGTCACAAAGCCCCGCCTTCCACCCGCAAAGCCAGTTGAATCAAAGAGTATGTCAAACCCACCTCAATTATATACCAATCAAAAGAAAAATGTATGATCACTTGAGACGTCCACTATTCAGATGCTGTACAGAGAACGAAACGCTTATAGGGTAGCAAGGGCACTGAATGACGATATCTTATGTAGGGCACATTGAATCATCTGAACATTCTTCAAAAAAAAAACTTTGTTGTTTTGTGATGAAGAAAAAGGATTGAAAAGATTGCAAAAAGATATACTGCCCTTAAACAGCTTCTTTCCTTGTTTTTGGCTATTTCTAGAAGTTCTCAAAGCCTAAATCGAGTGCAAGTCTGTGCTCTCTCAGTAATAAGTGCTCTCTCCTCTGCCCGCAACGGCGTCCGGTCCGTGCTTCGAGTTGCTCATGCATCGCATGGATAGCCCATCAGACCTCAATATTATTAGTTCATTTTATAGCTAAAGGGTTGATCATCGATCAGAATTCGCAGAAAACTTGGTAAAATCATCAGAACTCATCCTCTTCTCTTCAATTTGGATTACAAAAAAAATGCACTGTAAGAGTGAGTCAATAGCGAGTACATATTGTTATTCTGTCATATAAATCCGTCTCCATTATAATGTATACGTTGAAAAACACTAGTCAAACAACATATTCTGGAATAATTACCCTGTTACCAAGTTCACGCTTGTTTTCTTGATTCTATGGGAAGTTATTTCGAGCTAGCACCGCTGATGTGATTCACTTCAAACATCACCTAACCTACCCTATTCACTGATTTGGACTGTTGTTCCTAGCAGTATCTCGTATTTCTTGTCGTACCCCATTGCTGCCATTGGGATTAGATTTCATGACAAAGCGGATGTTGGCTTCTCTCAAGCGATTTTCTCTGCCCTCCATCATTCATCAGATTGCTTGTGTGTTCCTAGCTTACACTGCTTTTTTGGCCACTAAGGAGTAAATTGAACTTTTGGAATTTTGATTGCCTTTTCATTGTTGCAAAAAGAATTTTCATTATCAATTCTAATCTTACCGTTTTAATTTCAGTTTGCAATCAGGGTCCGGCACAAATCGTATGGAAACGAGCTGGACTTCGTTTTTGGGGCGAAAAAGCAAAGGGGATATCGTTTTTGTAGCCGAAAAGACGCAAAAGATTGCGACGTTTTTTTAGTCGACGTTTCGTTTTTTGGAGTTTTTTACAGATATGGTTTGGGTTCAAAGAGGACTTCATAAACTTTGGAGAAAGTCAAGGATGACTTCGTTTTAAAAAGCCTAGAATCGGACTTATGCCGGGCCCTGCTTGCGCTGTACTCAGCTTTCTTACTACATACATAATCAATTAAATTCGATATTAGCCATCTCCTTCGCGCCACCATCACATAAAATGACCAGCTTGAATTTTCTGAAATTCTCTTTCCTCGGCTGCGTTGCTAGGCAAGTGGGAAAATATCAATAGATAGAAATGACGTTTGCCGAAATTTCCTTGGCTATGACGAGGAAGACTCTCTTGCAGAACTATATTGACTTACGCGCTTAACTTCCAATTTTTCAAATTTATTTATCTCTTGAAATTTTCACAGTGAGGGATACTGCATTCGCATTCGCATGACTATCATGATAGAAAGTCGAACTTCTAATTTTTTGAGATAAAAAAAATTGCGCTTCTATTATGTAAAAGTTATTGAGACTATGCACATTTCTAGCAAATGGATAAGACTACAATCTTCTTTCGATTATCAGTGATTTGCTGAATATAGATAAATCCAAAACGGCTCTTTGTACTAGATAGATTGTTAGAGTTTTCGATTGTTTTAGATTGCAGATGGGTTTGATGCACAATGGAATAACATTGTAAGAAATACGGCTCATTCTTGTACTTTCCAAGTGCACTTCCTCCGAATTGGCTCGATTTTCATTTGATGTCTCCACAAATCTTGTTTTTCCTATGCTTCCTGGAAGTACCAAAAAGGGACAGTTGTCCGCATAATCTGCTCATCATCTAAGTTCACTGAAATGTCTGTTCTGGAGCTATTCTTGAAAATAGTATTTTATCCGGGCCACTACTATCCCCCGTATTTTAGCTGTCCTCTCTGCCCTACTGCTTTCATCAACGACTTAGAAAAAATTTTCTTTACTCGACAAAGTTTTAGAAAATGCTTGTGCATACATTGTGCATACATCGGAACTGATATAAGTGTTAGCAGTGGCGGTCCCAGGATTTCCCAGGGCAAAAATTTTTCGAATGGAGCTGCTGGCGTTAGCCACGCACTCCGAGCTTTTTTTAGGGTGGCTCCCAAACTTTTTGCTGACTCACGATCCCGACAGCCAGGCGCCAGAAAGAATTTTCGTAAAGCTGAATTGAACTTTTCAATTTTAGAATTGTTTCAGTCATTTAGGTAATTTTCACTATTCTCGCCCCCATTCTCTGGGCGGGGGGAGGAGCGAGGGGGGGGGGGGGGGGAGGGAGGGACAGGAAGTAATCTGATTTGAGCTGACTGAAGTTCGCAAAATTGCTATCGACTCGTTTTAGATCACATTCGGGGAAGAGTGTGTACAACGAAAATTAGCGAAGAAGTTAGTTCTCTTAAGATTTGGTAAGCAAAAATAATAAATTGGCCCGCATAATTTTTAACCTCGTGTAAGGGTAAAAATACATTGCCAAAATTGTAACAGCAACAATATTCCTTGGTTGCATGCGTATCCTACCCAGGTTTCCCCAAGTGTGTACATAAATACAAGCCCTCCTGTCTCGAATGAAAAATTCAGTTTTTTTTTAGATAAACCAAGTCAAGTATCTCTAAAGAGAGTGGATTCATCTGTTTATGAAAATGGTTTGTGGTCTTCTTTTTCGTTGTTTTTCAAGGCTCGAATATTTTAGTCGAAACAAGGCAAAAAAAGATGGAGAAACCTCTTATCAATCTCTTTTTCATAATCACATTTAAGCCTCTTTTCATGCCTAACCCCTCTTCCAAGTCTTTGACCTCCTCCAGCCAAGAATTCCGTATTTGTGTGTTCATTCTAATTGCATCCTCGTCGTTAGCTGTCGCATCAAATGGGGCACTTCTCGTTTCGTCGAACTTTCAATAGAATTCTCTATTGCATGTTCAGAGAGAGACTCGCAGCCCGTGCAACGTCTCAGCATGGCATCCTCTCGAGGACGAGAACGACTGAAAGAACGTCAGACGAACGGCCGCCAATTCGTTTTCGGTTCGAGCACTCCACGAGATCTCAGTCACATGAACAAGGTATAATCAGCCGAGGACGGATGTGAAGAAGAAGGGAAGGGATTGGGGACAGGACTCGGCACAGCTGGTATCGGGTCAAGCTGGATATTGTTTTTTGGACAAAAAGGCACAAAAATTGCCGACGCTTTTTCTACTCGACGTTTCGTTTTTTGAAGGTTTCTAAGCTTAGGGTTCAAGGTCAAAGGGGACTTGTACGAAATTTTCGAGATCATGAGAAGTTCGTTTTGAAATTTCCCTTGTGGCCAGCTAGTGCCGAGCCTTAAGTGGGGACGCTGAATTTGCCAAGTCAACAAAATTCATATGTGGAGTAAATTTGAGCTATTAACTCTTGGATCACAAAAAAAACACTTGAGCTGAGGGATAGCGTTACATGAAAATGAAATGATAGCTTTTTCAATTTAGCGGTTACTTGGAAAGATAATTCATTTTATGTTTTTGCCATTTGGTAACAACTGTATCATCTGATTACATTCGGGTATTGACTACAGAACTAATGCTGCATACTTTTGTAATGGCAAGTTTGTAGAAAGAATTTCTGCATCTTTTTGAACAAAAATAGTATGAAATTTTTTAGATGAGTACTTACATCTGCTGGTTGAATGTTTGACTCCCAAAAGTGAATTTTTTGAGGCCTACAGTCTATACCTCACGCAATTCCGATACGCGACTTGGCAAAACTCCAGCTGTCCACATCTCATAAGGATTCTGAAAAGGAAGATTAGGGCATTTTATCAATCTACGAAAGTCTTACATGCTGTACATTTCGGGTCTGCCAGTTATCGAATTTGAAGACATCTGGCAAATTGCCAGATTGTGTGGCGACTGAAATCGCGTGAGGTATGCCCACGGCCTTAGGAAGTCAAAAGTTGCTAATACCGTACTCTTACCATAATATTTTCATAATTAATTTTGCGATATTTGGACATTACAGCTACCAACATCCTAAGTTTTGAAATGATTTAAAAGTAACGAAAGTAGTCATGCTACTATCAGATTTGCTATTTGCAACAAGGTCTAAAAGACGTCTGGAAAGATTTAGCCGAAATTAGGTTTTGACGGAAAATTCGCTGGATTTGAAAGTTTTCTTTTGCGCGCTATTTTTTTCTTTCTTTTTCATTTAAGAGCAGAATGCCTGTCGGAAAAGTGCGCATTTGATAGTGATAATCTCTTGCTTTTTACTTGCTTTTTATATTGCGCGTTAACCTTTGTAGTTCTAAATTTAACCTGAAGAATCCAAGTCTTATAAGCATATTTGCTGTTCGTCAAAGAGAAGTTTATGACTTTAAAGTTTTTCAGCAAACCCTATAAAACACTTTTTCTCCCATCATTCTCGTCAAATTTTCCTAGAACAGTGCATGTTTGCCATTTAAACTAAAAGATAGTAAATTCTGATTCCTCTCTGTAAATCCTTCGCCTCCAGACTTTCACGTCAAGAAAAAAAACCATGTCACGGAAATGCTCCATTGCAGAATAAATGATAGCACTTTGCCACAACTAGCAGTTAGCGGACTCAGCATGTCTAATCCCCAGAGGACCATTTCCGTTCCTAGTTAGTACCCCTGTCGGCGATTACATTCACTACACGAGTGGATTAATCTAGCGCTGAAATCATACGCCAGCCAAACATTTGTTATTTGGCAAGGTGCTTGAGTGGTTATTTATTATCCAAGAGCTTGCTTAAAATGTCACATTGTGCCCAGGAATTCTGAGGGGTGCGAATAATAAAATAGGGGCTCTATACATATCTTTGCACTTACTGTTTTTTTCCTGTTAGGACGAACCCCAGTTAGGAGACGGCAGCTAATAAATCTTATGATGAAGCTAATGATAGTTGTTCAGATTCCACCAAAATTCCGCAGTTACGACGCAAAAGTTCGAGTCACTAGGGAGGGACCGGGATTGAGAGAATATATGCAAAAAGCCAGATCACTCACGAGAGAAGGTGAGTTATTATGTAGAAAATTTATGTTCAGGATTTGCAAACATGTTATACCGTCAAACCATTGAAATATAAGATTTTAGATATACCCTCTACAAAACTAGAAAGGATTTTGAAAAAAAATCAGGGGAAATCAAAAATCAAATTATATTTCAAGATATCTGAGTATTCTGCTATATTTTGCTATCAAAAAAACAACTCGAAAAAACAACTTGAATAAAAATAAGGTCTCATTTTTCTAAGGACCATTTTTTATCAAACAAAGAAATTTGCTTGTAACATTTCCAACCGTCAAAATTGCCCGATTTTTCAATAGCCAACCTGCATTTTGGAATAAACTTGCGTAAAACAACGATTATTCTCCGAAAAATGTGATGAAAAATCAAAATATCTCACCATTTCGATTTTGTTATCAGAACTTGAGTAGTTTCATTCGAATAATTCCTCGAAATTATTCATGGATTGTTTGACGACGATACTCGATGATACTGCCAATCGCATAGAACATTGCTTGTAGCATTTCCGTCCGGAAAAAACAAATTATTTCAGTCAAAATTATATTCTGATCTTGCATGAAACAGTCATTTATCAGAATCTGAGGCGTCTGAAAAATGTGCAACACAAAATTGGAGAAAAATTTAGTCGTTTGACTTCACAGTTTTGAATGCAATTTTATAAGTTTTAAAAACTTCAACTGCCATACTAAAAGGCGTAGAATCATGTGCGATAAGCACAGATGCAAAAAGTCACTCAAAAAGTAACAAATCCAACCCAATTCACCAAAATCGGATTTTCCTAGAATACAAAACTTTTTCCACGTGGGAACTCAAGCTTTGATTGCATCGTATATACCAGAGTCATTTCTCTTTTTTTCCAGAGCTAGCCCCACTTCAAAGTCAGCTCTTGTTGTACATGTTCTTTAGACAAATTATACTCTAGAGGCCAACTAAAGTCTTATCGTGCCCCCATTCTTCGTTTTTTTTCCCTTTGTAAGATGGATGCACAATTGTTAAGAGGCCTTTGCCTGAAGAATTTTGCAAAAATGGTGTCCACTATGTAGTAGTGCGAATTCTTCTGGGACATACGATTAACGGTTATTGAGCTTGAAAATAATGGAAAAACTTAGCGTATACAATATTGCGTTCAGTACGTTACTTGATTTTTAAAAATAACTTTACGAAAATTTGCAATTCAACATATAAGGTTTACCAATGAAAATTTCTCAAGTTTTTCCATTGTTTGGACATCCATTGAAACTCGGTAGATCTCACTATATTAAATTTCTTCAAGTTTGAATTAAGCGCATCTAAGCCGTAGAATTTCAATTTTGCTGGAAATTGGTAAGAAAAAATCAATTTTTCGTCTCACTTATCCAAGTTTTTGAAAATTTGCACTATCTTTCGCAACTCGTCCACTATACGGAATCCCAACAGTTATAAATAGCCTCAGTCTTTGATTGACGACCCTAAAGCAAGTCTTGGAAAACCTATTGTCCGTAACTTCCCAGTCTAGCCTTCCCCATGGAAACGACTTCCTCCCAAATCGGGATTAGCATACGGCAATAAAATACGATCAAGCAAGCAATCATTCTTATGAATTATCCCATGGCAGCCCACTTTATGCGCAGCATTAATATAACTTGACATTTGTAATGTGCACCATTTCGAGAAAAAAATGAAATATGAATTTTAGTGCACTTGTCTAGGAAACGCGCGCTGTTTTTTGAGGCTGCATAGGCTTTTTCTTCAACCGAATGAATGCTACTTACGTCAGATGAAAACTGAATAGCGCGCAGTTTTCTTCTTATCCTCGAAGAAAGAGATGTGGGCCTCGTTTTGTTTTGTTGAATCGATCATTTCTTGGGCATAATAGAGTGGGGGGAATTGTTGTGAATGTAAAGCGATTTAACCATGGTCCCATGAAGGACAGCGGCTATAATGACGATTAGGGACTATATCAGGGCTACAAAAAATTCTGTTTTATTCAGAATTTGGAGAAGAAAATTTGGAAAAGACGAAATTTTCTCGAAAAGATACAAAGTGCAAAACACTGCTTTAGAAATGAGGGTGACACAAAGAACATGATTTTATTGTGGGTATTTTATGTGTGCCATTTTGGAATCACACCGATAAGGTTGGCCCAGGAGGTGGGAGGAGGGGGGGGGGGGGGGAGTACATATTGACGAAGAGCCAAGATTTATACGCAGAGTGTCCCAGAAGTAAGTACAAACCTTTAAATTGGTAATAACTCTATTCTCACAAAGTTTTTGGCTCAACTTCAAGCATCATTCAGTAGAGCAGATTCTAAACAGTATTGAGTTAATTACTCAATTTTCTTCACTATTGTAGGATTACGGTAGAAACTTCGGAGAGGGTTTTGAGACATTTATGGCTACATCGTGCCTCACAATGGATACTCAACGAGCCGTTAACTTTATCATTAGGCTAAACTGACTATTAGTATGGAGCTCGCAACTTTCGTGAAACTTTTTTCATTAGTTATGCCATATAAACCGCAATAATGTTTTTTCAGTGTTTTCGAAAATGTGATAAAAAACCGCATAGCATAAAAAACTTGTGATAAGTTGTTGAGTGAAATCAGCATTCTGAAAACAAAAAACTCTGCACGACTTTTCAGAATTTTTCCAAACTTTTTTTGGTACTGCCTATTTCATTATGGCTTTAAATGCTAAAATTGAATGCTTTGAATGCTGAATCCTACCGTAGTCCTACAGTATTGAAGAGCGATGCTGATTACCGACACGATTCGCTCCATAAGGCCTGTGGCAGAGTTCACGCGATTTAATCGTCGCGTTTCAATCGCGACAAGACAATTGTTACGAGTTTATTGCATGCTGACCAGCTTGCATTTCGGTTGTGATACTTTTCCAGCCCGAAATTTTTACATGTAAAATGAAAATGCAAATCTTAGTTAATGACTGCTCCACCAAATGAAGCTAAGCAAAAGACTTCGAGAGAAGAGAGTTATCAACGACCAAAAAGTGTGTACCTACTTCTGGGACGCTCTGAATTTTGGAAATCTAAGCATATTCCATCCTTGTTTGATCCACGCAAATTTCTTGGCAATCCTGCAAAAAAATTTTCTGGGGGGTGGGGTTGAAGGTAGCGTCAGCTGGCAAGATATCTCTGCGTAATGTGTTAGTAAGCGTGTCGACAACTCATTCTTGATGCAATAAAGAATATTATGATAATCAATATTGATACCGTCCTCAATAGATTTACTCTACGTCGACCTTATTTACTAGGTAGAAACAGTGCAAATCACCTTCTCTCTATTTTAAATCTTCTACGGGCGTAATAGAGAAAAGTGGCGGATCTTTCTGTGGAAATCGTTTCCCTCAGGAAATTGCAAGGGCTGTAAACCTTGAATGATTTGTCAACGAATGGAAAATTTGCTGATTGACATAAGGAGAAAAATCGCTGTAAGATGACAAGGTATTTGCATTCAGCTCAGAGCTCATTTGTAGGCATCTGTACAAACCTTGATTTTACTTCTGAACCAATTTTATGGTATAGCTCGTAGATCAAGGCCCAAAGACAAATCTCAAGTAAAACTGATTTCTTTGAACTGCTGGAAATAGTCATTGCACGCCTTCTCTCATTCAGGTTTATAATCGCAATTGCATTTGACCAAGTTCAGCTCCCAACGGTCATTTCACTCTTCTTCTATGACTTCCAATCTTATTTTCACTTATTGACGTCAAAAGGCGATTCAACTCACTGCGAAATTGGTGCTCTATGCAAACTTTGAGGTTAAAAATTATACGGAGGAATTTTCACAGAATGATTTTTGGGTATAGCGGAATTAGCAATTAGAATGAGATGATTTGGACTCTTCTCTAGTGACCAAATTTTTGTCACTTCTTTTGCTTTTCCTGGAGTACAACACAAGCGCTTCGCAATTTTCGCCGTAACTCCTCTACTTTTGCGATTTTTTTCTCGCATCCTTTTTTCTGCTAATCCCATCAATGTTTATGGCACACCAATGCTAGAAAACTTGAAGTAGAAAAGTGCATGGCGGGTTACTGTTTTGCCAGAATCGGTCAATTTGAAATTCAACTTCCGTGTATTTTCGAGCTGAGGTGTCGTTGGCTTCAAGTTCAACCATGGAATTCGAGTAGATGTGTTTCAGTAAATCATTTTGACAAGATATCATTCAAGATAGCACTCGTTATTGCTCGTCATCAAGAGCTTCTCGCTAACGAGCCAATTCTCTACTGACAAATCTTATTGAATGACGTGATGTCGTTGACGTCAAAATTTTCCTAATTTTCCCAGCAGAAGAAAACTCTAGGATGAATCTCAAAATAGAAGTTATGTGGGCGATCGCTGACGGATGCGCTAAATACATCGAACTAAGAGTTACAAAATGGCACAAAATTGTGCCATTGGTGACAAAGATGGAATTCGATATTATTCTCACATTCATTTGCGTCCTTATATGTAAACATTTGTCCAAATGTTTGCTGTGCTATGTTTTGCTGAGAAAATTTCTTTTCAAAATTCTCATCGAGATATGCAAAGCTGCAAATTTTGGAAGAGTAATTCAGGTGGGATTTCGGATTTTGTGAACTAAGTCGACGGGGAATGTTCTGAAATCTTACTTTCTATTCCCTGTCTGTTGGTGCACTTGTATTGGAAACAGATTTAGAGTTATTTCGATTTTTTCAATGAAATTAATAGGACTCTGATAAAAGAATCAAACTTCCAACATTCTGGAATTTCTAAAAGACAAAAAACATGGAATTAAACTTGAGTCACTGATTCTCATTGTTTCTATTGCTACTATGAGTTTTAACATTTTTATCTTCTACTTCTACTATACTACTAATGCTGCGATTTTTTACATAAGCCTATAGCAGCATTCTCGTCAACATCGAATTGCTTGAAAACAATAACAGAACTAGATCTATCATGCACATTCAGGAAACATTTATTCTGCTACGAAAACGAGAATGTCTTATTACATTCACATCGCTGAGTAAACATATGTAAAGTATGACGACAAATCACTGGATACTGATCATTTTTTTTTTGTTCTGAACGGTTTCGAGGAACGAGCATGAGATCTAAGCAGCAAAACGAGGTTAACTGGAAGATGGTCATAGATGCATTACGGTAAATTAGGGGCTTTTGGCAGCCCGTTACGTACCACTAAAGAAAGTAATGAAAGCTGGAGGATCTTCAGCTTTGAAGAAAGCCTACATAGCTTCTAAAGCATACTTCTATAACTATACCTATTATAGTATAATTTGATTATACGAAGCATTACCACTCTTTGACACTACTGCCATGTATCAAACTTAGAGTATAACAAACTTTGCCGCTCTAGACTTGGAAAGATGTGTAAGCATCTGAAAGTTTCTGGGAATAGCACTTGCACTCATACATTTGGTAAGGGAAAGATTGTGAAGGTTACTAGATATTCAAAAGATTATCGAATGTAAATCGTTGCTACTTTGAAATTGAACAGAAAGGTCTAGAAGTGCTTTCTCTTCCAATTTCAGAACAGCTTCTACCAACATATCCATCTCTCATAAGGATAATAAAAAAATCTTGGAGATTATTTTACAACCACACTATTTTAGTAGGTCTTTAGAAACTGTTGGAACCTAACTAACAATGACATATTCTTTTTCATTTTCTCTACTAAAACGTGATCCTTCTCAAGTCTACCAGCTTTGCAATATTCGGGGAAAGTACCTTTTGGAGTTCTAAGCATTACATCTTCCTCATTGTCGAAATGAGGTCAGCTTGTTGAGCTATCACTAAGTGGGAGTCTTCAGCCATTTGAGACGTTGCGCAATTTGAGATAAGTTCTAATATAGATCAATTTAGTTTCCAAATGATCATATTATATCTAACATATAAAGGTAATTTTAGACAAGTGCAGTAAGCTAAAAGAACATCCTTCTAGCTCCAAGAAAATCTCATCAATCACTGAGAAGATGTCGCAGAACTTACAAGCGCTTTGGATGCACTTTTGGTAAAGAAGATGAAAAATTGGGGGAAAAAACTATCCTCTGCTCATTGTTCTCCATTTTGCGCAGTTTATCTTGAAGGAAGAGAGAAATGGGGGTGGGGAGAGGGGACAAATCCTATACTATATCGCCTTTTACATCAATAAGAAGAGGGATATCATATTTACTTCAAATCCTTTTCTGAGTCTTGGGTATAATGAACAGGGATTCCAGCAGTTCTTAATTATTTAAAGTGATGTGATTATCTTTACAGAAACGACACGGTTCACCGGTAGCTTCCGGCAAACTTAAAAGGTCGCTTTTTTTAACTACAAGCTCAAGCCTACTCTATTTGGGGATTGTTAACGTAAACAAATTTAACCGACTTTAAAAAATCATGTTCGATTAACTTCACATTTATGCGAACATAGATATCTGTTAAAAAAGCATGGCATTAGAAGGGGACAAGTTCAGTTCTAAAAAAGCTGCGCAGAATCTCGTCATAAAACAGTTAGATAACAAATTTAAATCTGTCAAAGCTGTTGAATTCCGTATTCAAATGTTGCCTCAATTGAAGCAGGTTCTCCAAAACTATTTCGTTGCCAAGAGCAAAAAAAATGCTGCATGTGTGCTGAAAGCCCATCCATTAAATTATAGCTGACCTCGAAAATATTCATTTTTGTTGCCAAGGCTACGAATTGTCACGAAAGCGCGTTGAACGTTTGTCTCTCGATTTGCCGCAGCTAATCCTCTGTGGGCAGAAAAGAAAAATGGCTTTCACTTGATGCGCTCATTCTCTGCAAACAAGGGGTTTTCGCTTATAAAAAAAAGTAAGAGTGTCCACTAAAATCAGCATTTTCACTAAATCTGGCCATATTTCGTTCCTAAGAATCAGAATACAAACTTAACTTCCTCAAAACTTTATTGCAAGTTCTGGAGATTACTAGAAGTACAGTACCATACCTACTCAAATAGCTGACCGGAACGTCCGCACAACGTATGGGACGTTGCGAAAGTTCCGAAGAATGTGAGCCACAAGAGAAAGGAGAACACCTTAGCAAGATTTGAACCCTTCTTAGGCAACATCGTAGGAGAAAACACATTCGAAAACCTGGCAGGTCAAAGTGCGGCGGAACCACTGCCATTTTTTGGAATTTTTGCAGCGTTTTGTAACAAATCCTGTTTGAAGCTCTCGTTTTCAACCTGTCTGACTTGAAAATCCTGCGCAATACCATTTTCTACTTTTTCACTTTTGTTATACTAAACAAAATCCTGCAAAACCGCTAGAAATTCTGCTTAACCTGCGGAATCTCCGGTGAATTGTCTGACTGTAAGTAAACTAATTCCGCAAATGTAAGATTCTATGCACTTAGTAAATTTCATAGCATATTTCTGCTGCCCCCGAAAGAGGGCGCTTTAACCCCAAGGGAAACATCGACCAAGGCTCGAAAGCAATTCAACCAAAAAAAAGTTAGAAAGGAAAAGAGACTAATAGTCGCGCTCAATCTAGTATTTTTTTGCTGTCACATTCATCTTTAAGTCCTTTTCCCAGTTGATGGCTGCTAGTTCAGGGTCAACTGAGACAAGACATTGGGCTTTTGGATCGTCTACGCCTCGCGATTTGGCTCATATGACAGCGATCTCCACAGCTCAACGAGTCTACGATGCAAAATCACCGAAAAAGAGTACAACGTCACCGGAATTTGTCACACCTGTGCATAAGCGCAGCACTACTGGTGGGCAGAGTTTATTTCTATATTTTTTGATCTATTCAGTTTCAATAGTGGACCGCGTTTTGGAAAGTGAAGAATTGCTTAAAAAAGATGGAATCGAAGAGAGTCATGCAAATGAAAACATATTAGAACCAATTCTACCCACAATTAAGCTAAGTAAAGGAGTGAGCAAAAGATATGTCGCAACGGGTTCAATTTTTCGATCTAGCATACGAGAAGTTACGCCTCCTTTTTGGAAAAAAGAAAAAAAAGGCGAATGAATAAAAAAACTTAACCGAAGGTTCCGATCACAGGATGAAATAAAGCATAGAAATCTAGGGTCATCCTGGCGAATGATGTATACAATGGCAGGGAAAATTACGATGAAAAAAGAAAGTAACTAACTCCTCTGTCTTGTTCATTTTCTACGGCGGATTAGGGGTCTTTTCTCTGCTATCATCCCTTTATGAGAAAAAATGTTGTCAAATACTAAATTGCCTATCTAATTTGATTCCTCAGATTCATCTCACAAATGGTCTGAATGGTCTATGCGACAATAGTATAACTGATAATGCAATAAATCCTCAACTATATCTTGTGAGTCAAGTTTGTGGAGCAAGCAGAATGATTTCGGCCTAGTTAGGGCTAAAAGTTTTTGAAAACGAATATCCCTGGAAAGCGTACCTTTTCTTACTTTACTCACCGTGTTGCCATCTGTCAGTTGAGCAGCTATGCTAATCTCGGATATCACGGAAAATGCAAAAGCGGTATTTTTAAGAATTCAAAAGCGCCTGCTTGTTCCGTTCTTAGGTAGCAAAATTCCCTTTACTCTTCTAACATTTGCCGCTAAAATGAGGGAGTGAAGCTCCTCTGGTTCCCTACTATCTCTAGGCCTTCACCCATTGTATAGATCAGTGGTCCCAAGGTGATGCAGATGTTTATGCGATAGATAAGGAAGCAGCTACAAGTTGTATTTGTGCTGAGAATAAAATTACCCACTCCTATAATAAAATCTTACAAATGTTTTGATGACCTTTTTAGCTCGGTTCCCCATAAACGTTACAGTTATGAAGATGCTGTCCTTGTCTGCAGATGCATGGAGCAAATTGCAGAAATCAGATTAAATCCTTGGTACAAGGAAAAGGGTCAGCTCTTTAATTGTTGAAGACGCCATTCATGACAACTTTTCTGGTATAATCACGAGAATTATGATTCCTCTACGTCGTAAACGCGACAATCTGTTATTTTTTGAATTTTTGCAGCTAAACCATTGCCATGTCAGTGGGCAATTAGCGCTGATTTTGGTTCGACGTAACTGCCATGACAATGGTTCGTAGCCATGCAAGTTCTCCGTTATTAGCTATTAGTCATCCTGAAAGACTCAAAACCAGACTTATAATGAGGCAAAATTCGTAAAGTACAAGATTCTTGTTAATTTCACGAAATCTCATGCTCAGTCATTCGTTTCAAATTCGTCTGTAAGTTTTGCCAATGCGCAAGCACTCTGATAGCTGATTTAGTAAAATGTTGTGCAATTTCGATATCACTTCTCACCAAATTGTAACTTATTTCATGTAACACTAGCTGGCAAGCCCGGTTTCGTCCGCACCGTGTTTTCAACTGGATCAACAAAAAAGCAAATTAATGCGCAATTTTGAAAACTCAACTTATCAGCGTTTCGGTTTTCATCTACTTCTGTAACGCAAGGCAGATACCTCACGCACCACATCGCATTGAATTACCGCCCTCTTTCGTCGTGGAATGAAAATGAGTCTTATTGTTTACACAGAAGTTGAAAGCGGTTTGATATCAACCGAAAAAAGTTCATTTTTCTTCAGAATCGATAAACCAATAGAAGTGGGAATTCCGCTGCGAAAAGTAGCCTAAGGAATGGACCGGTGTCGAACACGTATGTGTACAATGTTTGGCGCTGGTTGCTCCACACACAAAAACTTCTATGGCCCTGGGCAGAGCTCACGCGACGAAGTCGCGCGATCTCCAGTCGCGACGACTTGCACGAAAGTGGCGACTGGGACGCGACGACTGAGTCGCTCAGTCGCCGGAGGCGTGCATACCTCCGACGCGATTTCATGCAATTGCACAACACTTCACAGATTGCACAGCAGCAGACAAAGGAAGTTTGAAAGTTCATCACATTAGTATCCGACTTGATAACAATCACAATGATATGCACCCAAATGATCAATAATAGAAGGAGAAGTCAACGAAATCGTGGTTCTGGTGAATGGCTCATAATCAAATGACTGTTGGAAAGCATCAATTACGAATAGGGAAGAAGTACCAGCAAGGTCCAGTGGCTGCGGACATTCCGAAAGAACCGCTACGCGGCAAAACGATGTTTTTGGCTCTAGAAACGTCCCCCATGTGCTGCACATGATAGACGGAAATACTGTTATTACCTCATGCAAAGCTCATAGTTCGGAGTTTGCTGCATACCATCGTCAACGTAGACTGTGAGCACATTCTTTAAGTATTCGATGCGCAATCGAACAGAGTAGGGCTTGTAACGGATCTTTTTGGCAGCCTAGGATACATGAGATGTAGGAAAATGTAGATGAAAGACATAGAAAAATGCAAAATGACGACTAGCTACCTTCATCAAACAATGCAAGGATGGGCATAATTTATCATTTGCAACATTTCATGCGAAAACACTCATAACCCCCAAAAAACAGCAACTTAAAACAACAACATCGAAAATGCAGTTCAGGATCGGCGCGACGGTCGCCCTGTCGCTCGCCGCAAACGAGCGACGCGACATCGCGCCGATTCGGCAAAATCGCGACGATATCGCCAGGTGAGCTATGAACGCCGAAAAGTGTGGCGCGATCCGTCGCGCCGCACAGCCGTCACAAACGCGTCGGGACCCACACACTAGACAGCGTGGCGTGGAACACTTGTCCAAAATGATCGGGCGCGACGCGACGAAATCGCATGAGCTCTGCCCAGGGCCTATAGCGCACACATTAGCAATTTACCAACACTCAATTTTGTATATGTATAGATTTGTAATAAAAAAGACGCAAAATGGACATGCTCTTCATGGAAATGCACCTACAGCCGGCTGCCACCGTGCCTTCTTTTTCTGACGTTAAAGATACCGTCCACCCAAAATTTCGACCTCCATGTTTTTGCCGTTCCAGGGCCTTCTCATACCCCTGATTCCGAATGTCAAGTTGAAAATCCGCGAAAACCACGAAAAACCCCCGTTTTCAGAACCCGCAGAGCGATTTCTTCGGTACGGTGATTGGTTGGGCGCGCACGGGTGGGCGGGACAAACGTCACGCCCACTCCGAAAGGGGAGGAGCCAGCGTCGTGAACGCGGCCTGAAGCGATTTCCGAAGCAATTTTCTCGTTTTGGAAGCAACTTCAGGCAGTGCGAGTTGGGCAATCATACAGTTGGGGGCTCCGAATCTGCTAGGTATCATAATCTCGCCAACCTCATTTTGGGTGGACGGTGCCTTCCCTGTGGCTTGTAAAAATCAAATTCCTTAATGCCGTAAGTGCCTTATACGTTCAGAGTAACCTGTCAGTCGTAATCTGACATGGAGGTTTCGTGGCGTGGTGGTGGCACTCGCGACTTGGAATCAAACTTGCATTACAGTACGCCAACAGTAACTTATAGAAAACTTCTTTTGTGCGAGCATTCGACATCGGGTCTCGAAGTAGCGATAACAACTTGACGGCGGGAGCCACAGTAGATCAAAAGCGTATCGAGATTATAGGCAGTTTTACAGTAGTTAGTGAAGCTAAGAGAATAGTGATATAATAGACCGCAGTTAAGAAAATAAAATTTTTCATCAAACCAAAACGGACACATTTTCCTGCTTCTACTGAACCACTAAAGAAAGCACACGTGATAGAAGCTGATCGGATGCAAATGGACTGTTAAGTTCATTTTGCCGCCAAAATATGCATAAATGCACGTATTATACTACAGCCACTAAGTTTATTTTGTAAAGCACTTTGTATTCAATCTTCTTATTACAGTTGTTGAAAAAAGTCACTTGATAATCCTCATTTGTAAGTATTTCAGCCCCTCAACCAATACAAAGACTACCGCCGAAACCTCTCCCTAAGCGACATGATGAAGATGCCTCTTCTGAACCAGATTTCGTTCAGGTGAATACATTACTTTTCATGTTACTTATTTTCTGAGTGCTTTCAAAAGCTTGTAAACAAAATTCTATATGAAAACTTGAGTCATCAGGAAGCATAAAGCATTTGACATCAGCTAACTATCATTTTAAACAAATTGGTTTTAGTGTTGAATTGCCGCAAGAAACTAAGGTAGATTCCTCCAAGACTGCAAGTAGTCAGACTTTGAGAATAAATTTTGAATTGCAACAGTTGGAGCCTCCCGCTAAGAAGTTATTACTTTATTTTTGGGGTGTGCTCGAGCACCTCAGAACCCTGCTTTCGCTAGCAAAGCGGGAAGTTCTCCCACTTTTGGAATTACTTATCCCATAGATCCGACCTCGTTCTTCATCTTTGCACCCAATTACCAGTCTAAGTTTTACCCTTCATGAAAAATCTCATAAACAATATTTCCACTTTCGAGATCAACTACATCTCGGAAGATGTAGCTAGCAACTACTACAAACTACTGCATTGTGTTCACGAATTTTTGAATTTAAAATAATTTCATGAAAATACATGAGTTATTTTCATGAAATTATTTTATAGTTTTATAATTTTTAGTATATTTTTGATCGGCAACATTACAGGACCGAGAAGAATTCATCGCTGATCTTCGAAAGAAAAAGGCTGCCGAAGCACAAAAGAAAGAAAAACAAGAAAACAAAATGAATGGAAAAGTGAATGCAAAAGGTAAGCTAAGTATTATGAAGAATATATAGGACTTTCTAGAAGAAGGGGGGAGGGATCCCAAAGGGCGCTGACCAATTTTCGGATGTCTGTTGCTCTAAATGCGAGCATTTTCGGAGCTTCCTTCCATTCATAGTGTAAGATACATCCTGACTATGCTCCATCTGAATATTTGATACAAGAACTCTGTCTTAAAAGTTATTTTGCTCGTACTAATGTAAGCTTTGAAATCACAAGGAGATTTTTACAGAGCAAACGAAAGCAAAAGATGCGGGTGGAAAGGCAAAGATGAATGAGCCACCACCTTACGCACATGCTACTGGTAAGTCCGCTTTCTATTGTTCTTCACCTCATCATTTGAACGATTTTTTGCCCTTCCTAGCACGCAGTGAAATAATGTGAAGTCATCGAGAAAAATGTGTTTGTGGGATACTCCTTTTGGTGGTTTATAGAAATTGCGCTGACTATGAAGCTGGGGCGAACGCGATTGCAAACAAATGTCATTTTTGTTGCCTCACATTCAAAGCTGCCATTATCTGAAATTTCTGCTCCTAACGATAAGCTTCGCTATTATACAGCGCTCCTTTTTTATATGATGAGTATCTCTGCTTGTCTAAATTTCTAAATGCTACTTAGGGGCCAACTTTTGGGCTCAAGCTTTGACTCAGTGCTAAGAAGTAGTCATCGGGTGTGAAAATTGCGAAACAGACTTGAATCTTGCATCAACTTGATATCTTTTATTTATTTATGTATTTATTTATTTATTTGTTTACTTATTTATGGATGAGTGCAAACACGTGAGTGAAAATAATAAAAAAGAGTCTCACGGTTAGAAAACCCGAGGAATAGCAGATAGAATAAAACATTAGATACACAACATGACATCAGTTAAAGATAGAAATAAAATATTAATATTAAGAAATATTAAATAATATTACAATATTACCAATGTTAAGTATTAATAATATTTACAACACAAGACATGGGAAGCAGGACGATTTGTAGTAAGCATTAGAGCTAAAGTTTTTTGAGAAGATCTTGTGCTAGTAACTTGTTGAAGTCAGAAATTATCCTCTGGAAAAATTGGAAGAAAAGCGATATTGCTTTGAGAGCTCTTACTATCAGCAAACCTTCTCTAGTTTTAGAAATGCAAACTTCTAATCTTTTGACGCTTTCAGAGCACCAGACAGCTCCATGATCACTTCTACTTACAATCGTTACCTTGTCTTCATCCTCACCTCATCCTCATAGTAATTCTCACCGGAATGAGATAATTCGATATGTTGACTGCATAGAACTAGAACTTGTTCCCAAATAATATAAAATTCACTATTTTCGCATTTGTTCAGTTACCTTTTCACTATCGTCTCACGTACGTTGTCAATTCATAGAATTGAATGAATAGATCTTATCATCATCATGTAATGGCTCTCTTTCAATTGATATTCGTTAATCTCAATAAAATTGTACATGTGAAAAGTGCTCGTACAAAGGGGAAGAATTGATATTCATGAGCATTTGCACTCGCACTCTACTGTAAATTTGAGAGCACAATTTAGATGAAAAAAAAACGAAAGCATTCTGTCATTTTGTCCCTTTCAGAACTCGCCTCAGAAATTCGCAGCACTGAACGAGTGCCCCAAAATGTCCATGAAGATACAAGTGCTGTAGCCCATGAAAGCAGTGTGAAAGGACTGAAGGATCAGGTACGTAAGGTTTCCGTTATTGAATGACACTGTAAAAGAGAGCCTAATGCACGGAATACACGACCATCAATATTCCAAGCAGGGTTTCCCATTTCCTATGACAAAGATTTTTAGGTTGACAAGCTTGTAGTTTAGATAGTGGTCTCGGAGCTGCTGGAAGCTTCACCTGACAAGGAGATCGTGGTGGACAAGAGTGGAACAGAGATTGGGAAGAATGTCGAATCGAAGTCGAGTGAAATTACCAAAAAAGTTCTTAGCGGTTCCAAAGACATCAGCCAGGATCTCGTAGACCTAGCAAAAGATCTGAAAACGCAATCCGAAGCAAAAGTTGACTCGGTTTTGAAGGAAGTTGGGAAAACTGTCGATACAGTTACAGACAAGCTCGAGGGAGTTGCCAAAAAAGTAGACGAGACCCAAGCTGATGCGGCTGATCTGGCCTCCCGATTAGGTTCTTCCCTCACTAACACTTTGTCTAAAGCCGCGGAGGTGGTGGAAAAGAGTCAAGAACTCCTTGGAAATAAAGAAAAACCGCATGAGGAACAAAAGAAAGTGACTGCTTAATTGTTGTGTGATATCATATTTGTCTGGCTATTTTTCTAATTGCTGATTTTTAGTCCACGTGCTAGTGTAAATAACAGCACACTAAATAACCCGGTCAAGTTCGGTTTTTGATGGAATCTAGTTTTACCATCGTGCGAATTCTTTCAATGTTGTCTCTTTTGATCGCCTATCAATATATTATGATTGAGCCTGCGACTTGAGTAAATAAATTTTTGCGTAACATCTTATTTTCTATGGGTGACTACGGTTCGGACATGGCAATTTAAGGGATTTACCTCGCGCCGAAGTAGAGTTGCTTGAGGGTGTCGCTGTTGCATGTACGGAGGATAATTAACCGAGTTTATGCCAAGATGAACGACAGTGCAAATAAGCATATTGTAGTCCTACGTTCAGAGCTCGGCATGAGGTGGCTTTTTTAATTTTTTTCAAAAACGAAGCCCCCGTAGACTTCGCCACAAGAATACGACATCACCTATGACGCGAACATGAAAGGATAAAAACGAATAACGAGAATTCATGGAACACAAAACATAAAGAAAACATTGAACAGACAGATAAGAACTGAAAATGTCCGTATCCACAGAATTGGCGGCATTCTGTGGCCGGCGCGCAACCTTGCGCGCTTGGAGCAGGCTTGCCGCCGCCATACAAAATATTTGGAGGGCTGTAACTACGCGGGGAAGAGGGGGTTTAGGAAGATTCAAAAACTCGGTTTTAGGGTTCTTGAGGTAGAATGTATTTATGTCAAACATATGAAAATTATTTAAAAAAGGGAAATTTATGACTTTTTCTTTTTACAGCCACCTCAGATGGCTCTCCAGGTGGCTGTAACTCCGAAAAAAGTTTTCCACGACTTCAGTTCACATAATTTTTTTTATAGTTTTCTGCACATAGTCCTAGCTCCCTTCTGCCCATCTACACACCAATTTTGGTGTCATTTCATTTTCTCTTCGCTTCAAACAAAGTCTTTTGTTTATTTCGGGGCAATTTTGAATTCGCGCGCTCACCCGGCGGACCTCTTCAAACAGAAGATTTTTGGTTTTTGCAGGAATGGGATCGATAAGGCAGGCATGACAATTTGCGTCCTCTATAGAAGATGAAAAGTGACCTAAAGGAAGAAGGCGATTGTGTGTGGGAGGTGGGGGGAGGGGGAGGGGCGGGCTAGGACTTCCGCTTAAACGATATCCCCTTTTGCCACGAATGTTCCAAATGATGCGGCGTTGCAAGCGGTTTACGAATTGCTACTGGAGAACCAAACTTCTCTTAGTCTGTACGGCTTTAGCATTAGCGATGTCATGACCCTTCTTAAGGAGTGCTTGAACTGTTCCATATTTCGCTGGTCGGGTCATTACTACAGGCAAATTAGGGATTTGGCTATGGGACAACGTTTAGCTCCAACGCTAGCCATCGTCTTCATGTCCGAAGTGGAAGCGTCCGTGCTTACCAGAAAGCTATTGCTGTATTGTCGCTACATCGATGATTGTTGCATAATCTGTCCCACCACCGAGATGGATATATGCTTCAATCTCCTCAATCAGCAATTCGCAAACATCAAGTTCACACGGGAAAAACCACATGAAAACTGGCTACCGTTCTTGAACGTACAAGTATGCCTGACGGGTGGGGAATATAAGACAAAATGGTACCGCAAACCCAGCAGTAAAATTATACTGGTACATTATCTGTCCGCGCACCCCAGAAAGCTAAAAAGGGCATTTATAGGTAATATGTATCGGACAGCAGCAAAAGTTTCTTCGGGTATCCAAGAACGGATTTACGCTATGGATTTACCTTATCAAGTGGCCAAGTCTAATGGGTATGCTGGTGCAGAGCCTATCTAACCCACACGATTAGCAGGACGTAGAGCCAGTATCAGCTTCCTGGATACGACACCTACAAAAATCGCGTTTTGCCTGCCGTTCGTCAAATTAGCACTGCGGTGCGGCGCTGGGTATACCAGGCGGGTTTGCAGGACAGGGTGGTCGATATTCCGCCGCCCAATCTGAAGCGGCGACTGGTCCGGAATCGATCATACGATCGCACATGCTTGACGCCTAACTATGTAATTTGTCCATACGGTAAGGAGGGCGACTGTATGATTTCGGGAGTAGTGTAACTCATCACATGCTTATCATGTGATGAGACATAGGAGAAACGGACCGCCCCCTCTGCTCACGCATTAAGGAACACCTGGACGGGTTGCATAAATTTGAACCATCAACACCCTTAGGTAGTCATTGCATCGTGCAGCATGAAAGCACCGAGGTACAAATTGGAGTCAAGATACTGACCTACGAGCCCGAATTGCTGACGCGTAAAACTTTGGAGGCCTTCTGGATAAGCGTCAAGAGTCCAGAAATGAACCGGAAGAGTGCTTGGCGGTAACTAATGAGCTCGCGCCACATCAATCCCTCTGTAGGTTTTGATATGAGGTCAGGTCACACGGCTGCTATAAAAAGAGGTGGAGGTATATATCCCACATTCGGTGGTCAATGCGCCTCTTGTTGTGTCATCTAAAGTAAGTTCTGGCAGTCCGTTAATCTACCTTGGCCTTCGTACTGTTCACGGATTGAATGATATCTTGAGCCTTGATGTTGGCGTCTGAGATGCATCACTTATACATTCGACTTTCCAGGCTTTGACGAAGGCGAAAAAGCCGAAACATTGGCCGGTTGAATAAATAGTTATAACATCTTTGTTGCTGCTCAAAGAGACGACACAGCGATATCCCCTATGCTTTTAATTCCAAAACGATATCTAGTTTGCCTTGCAAGCCACCTGTGCCGAGCCCTGCCTACGTTTGTCAATATGCCAAGCATTTAGTCGTCTTTTTGGGGTACTACATACTTCACAGGATTGGTCTCAAAAAGTAGAGATTAGGGCTCAATACGTCCTCAGCGTTTTTTTTTTCAAATTTTCTCTTATCATTATAGCGTGAACACTGAGAAAAATTTAGTGAGTAGAGGTGCATACTCTAGAATCGGCAGAACGGTATTATGAAGTTTCACCAAAAGTTCTGTATTGTCACTGTGAATGCATTTTGTATTCGTAAAGAACAAGGAAAAAACTTTTTTGGAGATAGAGTCATAATGATAAGAATACTGAGCAGATTGTTAATAATGATTTACAAGTCTTGGCATATTTGACATACTAAGTAGCCATTGGTAAAAGAAAAAATTCAGATTTTATTTTCTGTCTAGAAGGAGCCCTAGGTCTTCGATGCCGCTAGATTTGTTTAACCAAATAATAGGAGGCCGTTTTTTGACCTCAAATACTTTCGAGACGTATAATCTTCAGCCGGATTGTGCTATATAACTTTATTGCCCCCAACTGGTTCTCCATTTTTGACGAAAAAAGTAGTATACGTATACGTATACTACACGTATATGTATACTACTTTAGTATATGCACATACGCCTATTTTAATTTATCAAATTCTTACACTTGTGGAGAGTGGCGAAATTGGGGAATCTGCCCTACTAGCTCTTGCTTTACTTTAGCGCACATTCAAGTAAGGAATCATCGATATCTCTACTCACAGAAGGTTGAGCTTGTAAAACATTAATTTGAATGGTTAGTCTTCAAACCGAATTTTATTACGTTGGTGCAAAAGTAATGCGCGTTTCGTTTTTCTAGCCCTCCTTTTAGAACAACCTTTCTCCATCAAACTTTCTCCTTTAAAACAAACTTAGCATACTGTCATAAAGCTCCTTTCATGCTTTATCCAATGGTTGTTAGGAGAAGCTTTTAGCCGCATTCGTTAAAAAATAATAGAACTTCATACAACCGCACTCGAAAGCAGAACTTCATCGCACTTACTTTTTTGGCCAGAATTCAAGCACGAGTAAGCGCATTCTTCTGAAAATTTAGCTGCTGTATGCAAAAGAATTTGTCTACATTATGCTCAATGTACTATTTTCTTAGAAATTACCTAAACTGAGATTTCGGCGCCTTAACGGGAGGTAATAGGGTAAAAGCTTTGTTCATTAAAAGCTAAAAGCTGGGTAAAAGCTTTGTTCATTCCGTGCCCTATAAATATCCTTCGAAGAGGGTAATCGCCAAAGCTATGTTCATTTGTGTAAGCGTAAGGGCGGACTTCCTGTTGACAGTTTTTGCAGAAATCTGTTAGCTGTTCAGTAAGCAGAAAATCAAAAATCTCCATTTTTTGGGATTTTGAGGTCTACGAAAGAATGTCGAAAAAAGAGGACAATTTGGAATCATATTTTTTTCCTTTACGCGAATCTTCTGTGCTTAAGCTCTTTTCGACTTTTTTGGTACTATCGACTTGCGGATACAAGACAGGCTACTCATTATTTGAACTAACAAATTTTGAAGGGAGTTATGATCAGTTAAATATGAGGATCCAGAAAAAAATTTGTTTGCTTATCAATCCATAATCTCGATCTTGTTTGTGATACGAGCATAGATGAATGTGCGCTGTATTGGGAAAGGTTTGCCGCTTCCGATGGTCCCCACCACACTAGAAAATATGGATTTCTTGGAAAGTTGTAGCACGTCAAAGTGAAAACTCGCAAAACGCGCATTAGTTTTGCACCAACCTAATACAAACAAGACGATTCTTACATGAAAGTGTATGTACTAGTCTGTAACACCCTTATTCCGAGACCAATACAAAGAACTGACTTAGAAGGCGAAGTGAGGATAATTCTTGCAAGAACATATTTCTTGCGTGAGACCGTATCTCGGCTACCTGGGATATTATTGCCAGTCCTGTAATGTGTTAGACTAAGAATTCCATTAGAATTTAGCATGCATTAGAAAGAGCAGAAAAGCGCTTCTTAATGATACAAATAGTACCCTGCATTATGGAAAACACCTCTTAGAACAGTTGTTTCGAACACAAGCAAGAAAAGTCAGAGAGAAGTTATGCAGCAAACTAGTACAGTGATATTGAGCTTGCACTCTACCTAAACTTCGAAACAATTACCTTAAGTGTATTTCCAAATTATACTGTAAAGACGGCAGCTTTGGAGTATGCAGAAATGCCGAATTTTTAAAAGAGCTACAATCTGTATACTATATGTCTCAAACATTGAAATTTCCATGGATTTCCGCTTGATAGATTTAAATAAATGCTGGATTTTCACCATTTCTTCCGAAAAAACTTAATTTCGTGTTAAAAATGTCGCAAACATCAACATTCTCATGAAGTTCCATTTCAGCGAGTTTATTGAAACAGTGAAAAAGCTCTACCAAGCTGTGGTAGAATATGGAGAAGCAGTCACATATCCATACGGATCACAAGCAAATCCCATACAGAATGAGTATGTCATTCCTCCACATTTCACCGATGCATATTGAAGATGGTATCGTTGAGCTTTGACACCGCTAAGGAAGTTGCGGAACTGAAGTTAGGTATAGCACTCCTTCCCTAATTTGCGAAAAGTGAAATGTATTACCGCCTCGCAGTCGATGTTACGAATACCATATCTGGCCACTGGTAGCCCACTTATGTATGCTTCAAGCTGGCGGAAATTCCTCTTGTTGAAATGTAATCCGTTTTGTTCGGCGAATTCATCAAACTGGAAAGATCAAGTTCGTTTATCAGAAAAAGTGGAAAATATAACATAGCTCACAAGTTCTATAAAGTCATACAAAGCGGTATGTTGCTGCGTGACATTGTTATAGTGGTCACTGGCAAGCAGCACTTCCACCATCTCCCAAGAAGAGGAAGCATGTCCAAAAACCTAAATTTCTGTTCATTTAATTCTTCAGCTACAGTGCTGCCTCTCAGTATATCTAGTAGTTATCTATCTTAAAGTAAAAAAGACTTAGTAATCTACTTCTATTCTTAGATTCAACTGCATTGTCTTTATGTTGTGACTAGATCACTTCAACTAACTTATTAGACTCAAACATACATTTGACTACCCTAAAATCACACAAACAGGGCCTTCCATCAGATAAGTCCGTCTGCAGACAGGTACTAATTTATCTGAGTCTTCGGACTTATCTGAAGGGATTTTAGAGTAGTTTTAGAGTAATTACGAGGAAAAAAAGAACTTGTCTGTAGGGCGGACTTGTCTGAAGGGTTATAGAACGGACGTATCTGGTTTAAGAAAGCGGACTTATTTGTAAATATTTTGAGTTACGAAAATTCTTTTAGTGACCGTTGTCTTCTCGAAATAGGTTACATAAGCTAATGCTACTTTATTTTTGCAGAATTATTACTGACTTCGTTTTTTTTTTGAGTTCATCAAAATCAGACAGAACACATCCGCGTTTGCTTTGCAATTCGCCCAGTTTTCTTGTTTTTCCGCAAGAATTTTAGAACACTGAGGCTTACCTTTTAGGGTGAACGTGACAATATATAGCTTTCATTCATTCTCTCAACCGCACTAGCTTTTAGTTTGCTTAAGCGGCAAATCACATCGCAAGAGTTTCGCGCAGGCACTTGATTCGAGGAGAAATCTCCGCCGCATTCATCGCAGGTCACGAGACGTCGTCGCGCTGCAGAACGTAGCCGCGCACAAAAGGCGCATTGCCATTGATATAGATTTTATGCAGAAAAGTAGCCTTCACTTTCCTATTGCCGTCCGAATTTTTGTTAAAAGGACAAATGCTAAGTTGAAGTCAAAGCCAAATCATAAAGCTACTGGAGCAAGTTTAGCTGAAGCTACTTTTGACTTCTTCTGTTTGTCTAAGGAACAAACAAATCTTTACAAACATTTAGAACATTTAGAAAATTGTGTACTATGTGTACAATGAGGAGTTACTTCAGCACTCACACCCAGGAGGAACGCGACGAACAGAACAGACATGTCGTTAATGTTCCACTCAAGCTTCACATCGCTTTTATCATGCCGTATGTGTACCTTGTGGGCTATGAATCCTCAACAACATCGTTTTGATTTTAGCATATCTATAGAGGCGATACAATGGGTTGGCATCACAAGCTTTCAAGAATGCTAAATAAAACATGGGTTTCTCAAAACTGCGTCGTTATACCTTTGACAAATTTGAGAGTTCACATTCAGTAAACAAAAAAGTATGATACTCTTTAATCAAAAAGCTCTCGTTTTGAGTGAGTTTTTCTATGCATTACTGGATCACACCAACCTCTTCCGTTTACCAACACCCATACCGATGCCCGTTGTTTTCACTGGAGAAGTACTACCACGGATTCTACCTGCTGAAGTGCGCACCGCGATTCAGAACATGAAGACGTCCGCGGCCCCAGGACTAACCCATCCTTCCGTCGAACTTCTGCGAGCTGAAGGACAACGTCTACACGAGAATCTCGCGTCGGCATCCAACATACCAGTGGAGATTCAAATCGTCCTTCTCTTTAAAAAGGGCAAACGGAAGGATTTTCGGAAATGCAGTCCAGTGCGTTTGCTGAGTGTGTTGTACAAGCCTTCCACGGAAATTATGCTCGCTCGCCACATCTAAGACACTGGATGGAGCCTAACCACAAAAACAAGCTGGGTTTCGCAAAGGATTAAGTTGCATGGACAAAATCGAGACGGTTTCGAGGGTCGTAGAAGTCTGCCGAGAGTACCGACTGCCTCTCGTCCTAACTTTCGTCGACTACAGGGGCCTTGACAGGTCGAAATCAACGCCATCCTGATCACGGAGACGTCTTCTTACGCGTATCTCACACGTTCGGTGAACATGCGAAGTGACCTTAGAAAAGAACTTAACAGGAGAAGCCTTCGGGCCTCTGAAGGAAGCCACCATCCAAATTAGACCCGGAGCCTCGTGCTTACTTGTCCCACTCAACCGTTCTTCCGGCGCGTTACGCAGCTGAGACTTGGGCCGACATGTAGCCGCGTCGAAAGCTCTAAGGACCACCCACAGACCGCTGAAGTGCAGTCTTCCCAAGATGACCCGACACAAACATATCTTGTCGGACTTCGCAGTGCGATATGAGAAGAATGTTTCGTCTTCGTGACACAGCGGAATACGTTGCGAAAGCGAGCACTGATGGGCCGGCTACACCATGAGAACAACAGACAACAGATGGACACTAAGAATATCAGAGTTGATTCCTGGCGAAGTTAAACGAGGGAAACCTCCAACGAGATGAGCAGACGTGTTCGTGGGACGGAAGGACTAGTTGAGAAATCAGATACGATTTTCACCCCTGTAACTTGTGGACGTAGCCATCGAAGCAACCAAGAAGATGTAAATGTCTGAAGCAAAAGACAGGGATCACGGGGAACTTCTGTGCTGGGGCCTGGATCACTTCGCCTTATAGTGTGACAGATCTGATCTAACAAGATAGAAGTAGCACAAAAGTTCTATAAAATATAGCACAATAGTTCTATAAAATGCTGCATGATGAAGACGTAATATCTTTGAATGCAAACGCGACTTTATTTATCGCAGAGCGCATGAGGCGCAGGATTTACAGTGGTGAAGCGGGCGAGCTTCGGCGCCCACTCAACCAATCTGCTTCTAGGCCTTCGTCATGCAGCCAGCCTACTGTGTGCAAATACAGTTGGAAACTAAGGTTTGCAACTCAATCAATAAGTTTCCCCCCCTCTCGACATGGCATACTCAAATTTCGCCATTGTGTAGGTCATGACATAAGCTACAATGACAGCTGCTGTTCTGCCAAATTCTGACGTCGCAGTGAGGGTAGGGTAGTATTGGTAAAGAAAATCCAGCGACCGCATGTATGGATTTCCGATGTGGAAAATACTAACAAAGGAATGGTCAGAAGTCGATGTGGCCAATCCAAGCCTGCCAACCATTCGATGCAGCATCCAACGCCGATTTCAAATCTGTATTCCTTACCTGCTTAACGCCTTTATGGACGAAGGTATGAGCAGTTTTGTTGCGAAAAATTCTACATAAAATGCGAAATCGAGCACATTGTTGCACTTTCAGCTCACCCATAGACTTTGAAAAAAAATAGCCTAGCTGCATGTTTTGGCCCAGCATTAAATTGAACATGACTTTATACTGCCAAATTTGCGCTTTTGCATGCACGATTTCTTGGCAAATGAACGGCTTTTAACGGCTTATAACTTCGTTCACATAGGCGCTCAGCATATACGGAATACAGATTCGAAGTGAGTTTTATGTTGCTTCTAATGAGACAGCTTGTTTGGGTTGGCCAATTCGATTTCTGACCATTTCCTTGTAGGCATGAGCGAGTGGGGGATCCAAAGAGTTTTTTGGACGACAAACCGATTTTTCTAAATTTTTTGGGCATTTAGAACGTTTTAGGTTGTTTTCAACAAGATTTCCCTGAAATTTTTGGTGCATCTAATTTGTCGGATATACTAGACACCTGTAGTACTCTGCGCTGACAATGCTACCATAACAGTTCTGACTTTGAAAAACTAGCCGCGGCTGTTCTGCTCTGGAAAATGCTACGAGGTCAAATCTTAAAAATCACGCGTGAGACAAATCAGTAATAACATATATGCATTTTCTCTCAAAGGCAGTGTCCGGACGGGTGTGAAGATACTGAGATCTGGCAGCTTACAATAGAGTCCACCCAGATAAAAAGATTGAAGGTAGTGGCTTGACAAAATGGACCATTATCAGATTTTAGCACTATTGAATAGTAACCGTCTTCTTCCCCCTTCTCAAGCACATTGTACGCCCGTCCCACCTTCGTCCCCTAGATCCTGGAATCATGCCTCAAATTTCCGCCAACCAGTTTTATCTGTGTGGGTGCTAGAGTTTTGGAGCACAATTTCAGGACTCAGCCTACAAACTGGAAGGAGTTAGGGCAACGTATACTCGGGACCTATTATCTAACAGTATCAAAATACGAGCTTCAAGCCCAACTTTTATTTCAAAGTATGAGATAATTGCTTTAGAATCTCCACACGGCCGCTTCTCTTGTGCCGTCCAAACATGCCCCTCATTCAAACGGCAAGTAGAGTTGCGCATATCGCAAACGAATGGTGACAAATGATCCCACAACGATGCGTCTGATCTTAACGCGAGCCTCGCATCTGTATGCCCAAATTCAAAATCAAAGGCTACGAAAATTCATTTTGGACAGTTTTGGGCTCTGCTGATATCTTCAGAATCATTGAGAAGAATATGACCAGGTAAGTCAAAATCGACATTTTGGCCGGATGCCCTTTGTCCTTTTTCTCAAGAAATCAATTTGAAATCGCAGTTGATCCTTCAACATCAATTCCCAATGCGACTGAAAAATGGTCTCTGATTCTTCAACTTTGTTGCAAGCCCATTTCATGACTTTTTTGCGTGCGCAGAACAGCTATCGCTGAACAACAACCTCGAACATCAGCCTGGTAATTAGTGAAATCCAGGAACCTCTAGGGGGGCTGCGCGCATCCGAGCGTCGAGGTTATCTCCAAGGCAAATCTGCGAGATCCTCGGAACAGTGCATGTCCACTGCGCCCAATCGGAGGTTCACCGGATGGGTAAGCCGAACAATTCGTGTCCACGCTTGATTGAAGTTGTGACGCCCTCCACCTTCTATTGGCGAAGGGCTTTGGCAAACCCCACCTTTTCCGTAATACAAGCCACTCTAACGTATAGATACGAAGAAGTATGATAGAGGAGGGACGTAAGCGCAGATATGACTTAAGGCAAATAGCACGCGAGAGGAATAAAGTTAAACCAACTCGTGAGTGATTAGTATGTAGAGGTCAGGTCGTCATTTCGGAAGTATCTAGAATGAGATCGGGAAACGAGTCATCCGACATGGTGTGCAAGATATAATAATTTCAATGTTGAATGCCAGAATCTTGTGAATAAACTGTACCAACTTCGAGTCTTTTTGATTAAAAACAAACCTGACATACTTTTTGTAACTGAAACTGGTTAACAAATAAAATCCGAGATAGCGGAATTGTGCGAGATTTTCCCTATTTAGTTCTCCGTGCTGACAGACTAAACCGTAGAGGGTGCGGTATCTGCTGCTATCAAAAATAACTTTGCCAGTGAAATCGTTCATTTTTTTGATGCTAGTACCATGTCCAACATTCTTTGCATTGAGATAACTTCCCCGCAAGAGCCCACCTGTTTGCGTCTCGTTGCAAGCGTCCACCTGATAGCACGGCTCCAAGTGGTGATAAATTGATCGAATTACTCTGTAGTTTTGTGAGTGATTATGAAAACACGATTGTGTTGGGTGATTTCAATTTGCAAATTGGCTGGACCAAAGCATCTCCCCTCAATAAAACTTCTGAAATGTTTTTTTGAATTCTTCCGTGACTCTGGTTTCAAACAAATTTCGAGAACCCTGTTCTCGAACAATTTGTTCGAAACACTGCAACCATGTTCTTGATCTTGTGTTTTCGACCTCCCCTAATATCTCGAACAAATTGTTCGAGAACCCTGTTCTCGAACAATTTGTTCGAAACACTGCAACCATGTTCTTGATCTTGTGTTTTCGACCTCCCCTAATATCTCTAGAATTCTTACTATGCCGCGCCCTCTTGCAAGGTTCTAATCACCGAATAATTTAATTTTTTGTTTTTACCAGTGCTTTTACCTCCTGTGTACCTCCCGGCCGACTTTCGAAAGATTGACTATATTTCTCTTAACAGCTACCTTGCCAATGTCGATTGGATGAGCTTGTTTGATCAGTACTGGTCCGCTGATGACATTTACTACAGAATCTGCACCACTATTTACACCGCTCTTGCAAAGTTTGTACCCTTCCCCATGGCCCGACCTCATCTGCGATATCCTAATCATATACAGAAACTTTTTGCTCATAAGGAAAGGCTGTTTAATAGTACACTAGATCCTTTATCCCATTATATGTACAAAAAAGTATGTTAAGATATCGATTATCATTTGAAGAAATACCCTAATTTCACGCGTACAAAGCGCGGGGGATTTTTTTCCAAAATTGACTAGCCCAAATACGCCAAAGAAGTTTGCAATCAAGGGACCCTATGCCGTGATGTATATTGCTTAAGAGAATCGTACGACATAGGGATCGCTTTTCGAAATACTTTGGATCGGCTGAGGGGTTTGATTGAAAAATCGAAAAAGGTGCGCCTTGTACGCGTGAAATTAGGGTACTTATCCAATCGTCAGCAGAATCTGGCAAATGAAGCAAAATCGAAATTCTTTTTTAAATACACAAGTTAAAAAATAAAACAAATCGTCACAACCATAACTGACCAAACGGGCCGCAGCTAACACGGGTGCAAAAAAAGCACCTGCTTTAGCCCGCTATTTCGCTGGAATTCTCGACCATGAGCTAATGGAAGACTTATTGTTAGACTGTTTTGCATCCACTTCTATAGTCGCCGGTCTTTATCAAACGTTTATTCTAGTCCTTCAGAGATTCAGGAGATTTTGACCAAATTGAAACACCTCTTACTGAGCCATTCGAATTCCACAGATTATTTTTTTAAGTGTGCCTCATCCCTCTGTAGACCTCTTGCTCATATCTCTAACATATCGATGATGCTCGGTAAGGTGCCGCAAACCTGGAAGGAGGCATTAGTCACTTGTACTTCCAAAAGTTTCTAACGCACGCCTGCTCTCAGATTTTCGGCCAATTAGTTTGACTCCTACCGCTTTAAAAGTGATGGAGAAAGTACTGCGCACTAGATTACTTTCATGGCTTAAAAATTTCAATGTAATCCCTGCTAGCCAACATGGTTTCATGGAAGGATCATCCACCGTCACTAATCTTGTTGATTCGGTTTTTGATTGGAATTTGGCACTCAATAGTGGTAGTTTTGTTGATGTTGTTTACGTCGATCTTTCCAAGGCATTTGACAGAGTTCATCAAGAAAAGCTTTTGTACAAGCTGAACAAACCAGAATGAAAGGAAACCTTTTGAAGTGGCTCAAATCATATTTGCACAGTAGAGGAATGACGGTGAAAGTAGAATACCTCTTCTCTAAATGACAACTCTGTACAAGCCTTCCGCAAGGAGCAGTCCTTTCTCCATTACTCTTTCTATTAAATGCTGTTGAACTTCCATCCATCTTACGAACATCCATACATCTGACAATTCAGATGTATGCCTACGATATAAAGGTATACGGAATTTATGATAACTATAATAAAGTACAGGTCCGTTCAGCTATAAAAGCTTCTCTTGAAAAAATGATGGAATGGGTTGTCTACTATGGCATACCTGTAAATCTAGAAAAAAGCCTTGTAATGCATTTTGGAGATGATGACTACCCAGTTTGTGAGATACATGGAATCAGATCGAAGAACTGCTCCACTGACAAGGACTTGGGAATACTCGTAGATTCTAAATTGGGGTTTGGCAATCATATAGATTATGCAATCAGCAAAACATTTTCAATGTTATTTGCTATTTTTCGAAATGTACATATCGCAAACCCATTTTCAAACGACTTTACAATGATTTCGTTTTGCCTCACTTAGAATACTCTTCCGTTGTTTGGAGTCCTTTTCTCAAGAAAGACATGCGAAAATTGGAAAAGGTTCAACAGACCTTCACTCGAGCTATATATGAGATGCCGACAAAACTCAATTTTGTAGAAATTCCCAATTACGAGACTAGGCTCATCTCCTTGGCAATGAAGAGTTTAGTATAGAACGTATATATCTGCATATTGTCTATACCTTTCGACTTATCCTAATGAGTTTAGACTCAAGGCGAGTAAATACTGGATTTTCAGACCGACTAGCAGAAATGGTGGGTTTAACATTTACTATTCGCGTCTTCAAAAAAAGCTTTTCGTTTCGCATTCAACAGTTTCTTTTATAGAATTCCACAATTCCTTTGTGCATTACCGTGTACTAGCTGCAAGCTGAAAGTGTAGCTGCTTTCAGACGTAGAATCAATGCACTTGATTTATTCCACGAGAAATACTCTGAAAAAAATTGAATTTTCTTATTAATAGATCAGTTTACTTCAGTTCAACTGTTTCATGTTTACTGACATGTAAAAAAGCTGGCTTCTCTAAAAATCAAACCTGATTGTTTTTTTTTTCGAATTGGACTGTGAGCCTCATTCATAGGGTCCTACAGCTTTACTCATGGATATATTAGGTTGTTGCATAACTTCTGTCCGATTTTTTTTTTTTGCCTTATGTTTGAGGCAGCTGTTCTAAGAGAATTTCATCTCTAATGCGGTATTATTAGTACCATTAAAAAGTGCTTTTCTTGCGCTTTCTAAGGCATATCAAATTTCAATAAATTTCTTAGTGTAAGGAGAATTCAGGCCTAAAATCTCCGAGTGGCCGAGGTACGTTCTCACCCTAGAAATATGTTCTTGCGAGAAAATCTCCACAATGCGCCATTCAGGTCAAGTTTTCTAATTGATAGCGGAATAAGGGTGTAATAGGCTAGCATACGCATAAGTTCAGTTTCATGAAGAAAACGTCTTGCTAGTAAAATTTATTGTCAAACATTAATTTTATAGATGTTTAGCTATAACTTTCTTTGAATAGAAGTAATCGACGACTTCAAAGTTGGAGGTGCTAGCGTAAAGCAAGGGCTAGCAGGGACCATCACCAATTTTTTTTTCGGCGCTTACGGCAACTGTAAAATTTTCGGAATTTGTAAATAGGCATGCACACATGCGCTGAAGCGAGGTCAAAAAGTGGCCAATTTTTTTGTTCGGTCAGAAAATCTCTCGGTAGCGCAGACTTCATGGGCTCTTTCATGGTACGAAATAATCTACGAAAAATTCTCTATTTATCCATTGTTAGATAATATGCCTATCAATTCTCATAAGGAAGCACTGCCATGTCAAATAAGAAAGGTTTGAAGAAAAACGCTGTAAAGTTTTTGAGTTCTTGCTTCTTCCTTAACATGGATTTCCACAGGTTTCAATATGTGTCTGATAGCCAAGGAATTGCTCAACAAATAGAAACTAAGATCTTGGGAAAAAGCTGACTTGAAAGAAGTTATGACATTTTGAAGTCAAAAATTTCAAATCGGACAGAACTTATGCAACAACCTAATATACCAGTGCGTTTATTGTCCGCTGACTTCTTTGTTCATGGGAGCGAAGTAAAAGAAAGCTCAAAGAGGTATTTATTTCCGCCGGGGCACGCATGGAATTAAGACCATTCGCCCTGGTGTCTCTTTTTTCACTTGAGAGTGATAACTCAAGATTATTGACACCATGGTTGCAGTATGACCGTTCATTCTTACTTCGTTTATACCTACATCTATATATGATCGGCTCCCAGATCCGTGTGGAGGTGTATTGCAGACTTTGCCTGATAACAAGGATAAACTTGTTGAACCTCAACGTTATAACATTGCTATCCGTAATCTCTCGCTAGCAAAAACCGCCACGCTGCGAGTTGGCACGACTCCACCTCCACACGAACCTGGAAGTCGATGATACCTATTGAGTGGGCTAAAATTTTATTTTTGCAGAACAGTTTGATTTTTTTCAAAAAACCAGCGCTTATTGTTTGCCTAGTCGTTTGTTTAGTCAAGACAACTCTGTTGAACTAATACATTCGTTGGGCGCATCATCGAATGCATAAATAAATAAATAAAATACGTATCTAATCCCAGTATTACCTGCAAGCACTGATCAGTTTGACTTTATGAAAGAAAAGACAAGTTGGATAGAAATTTCGGCGAGATTTATGCAATTATTCGCTGTTGTTCCACGACGCAGTCTGCACAAAATCAAGCAGGAAAGCCTTTATTGTACACTTACGGTCCGAAGAATTTCAGTGGAAGCAACATTCTTACCGGATGAAGAAGCTGTGGAAGTGCATGCCCTCCGGAGAAAATTTTCGGGTTTCCAATTGCCAGCTTACAATCACAAAATTTTAGACGTAGAAGACTGAAGGCAGCCTTGCCCTTCCCTCCCCCCCCCCCCCTCCAAGATTGTACGGCCAAAATGACTTTGGAAAATTTGGGAGAATTATAAAATTAACAAATAAAAAAGCCACTTGCACAATTTTGTCAGGCATACTAACACTCATAAATATGGGGAGTTCTTTCGGTGGTGGGGGCGTCACTACCCCACATCGGTCCGCCCCTGGTGTTCTGTATAATAAGAGTACAGAGTAAAAATGCTGCGCATCACTCCCCTTTCTTCGTGCACTCTTGCCGCTTGTTTTATCTGCGCCTCTTCCACTCATTAACTGTCTCCAACTGACGCAACAGCTTGCTCTTCGAACACGGCGCGGACGGTCTATACCTGCTCCATTTTCCGTGAGTGCAATGGCGATGCCAGCGCTTCGCACGCGTATCCCTGTAGTTTTCAAAAAGGCCCTATCGTAACAGGTCCGCACGCAAGCCCCTCGCCTTCATGCGTACACTACGCGAAAAGGAGTGTGTAACTGACATAAACTGTAATTCTGTTTCGATGAAACATTGGTTCTTTTTTGAAAGATTCATAAAGTAGCAAAAACCAATAGAATAATTGTAAAACAAGCTTTACACCAGACACCAAGCATGTAATAGCTGTACTTCGAATCCGTAGATAAATAGACTAGTGAAAGGTGAAATGAAAAATCAAGTGAAGCTAAGAAGTTCTGTACAAGAAATGCCCTAGAAAGCAAGAACAAGAAAAACAGATTAAGAATGTGAATAAAGCTTGACAGCCGAAGGGCTGGCAATGGCAAAGTGATTTATCAGTGTCTAACGAAAATAATCATACAAGAACGGAGAAATCTGACTCAAGAGACTAGATGCATATTCGGAAGCATAGAGTTGATGTCATTTACCCATAGGTTAGCACATTCCGAATGATATGTTTGTCCACCAAAAAATACTGCATTCGAAACTGGTTGATAGCAAATCGCACATTTTCTGAAAACACTACAGTTTAGATACCTGTATACTCAGCGGTGCAATTCTAATTAGTTTGGTACAACGAAACCTATACTTCCAGCTCTGACGCTTATATAGCGTTCTTGCCGTTAACGCCTGCGCGTAAAAAACTGGCATACCATGTCATTCCTTTTTTGAAAAAAGTGTTGCCGACACGCAAGGATACTAGTCTAGCCGTAAATCCACAAGACGTATAGCACAGTAACAGATATGTATGACACATTAGCAGGCCAAAACAAAAATATGAGAATCTATATCTTACTTTCCGTCTTGTTCCGAGCTCTCGTCCTTTTCAGGTTGACCCACCATAAAAACACCCAATCGCTTCCAAATTTTTCCACATTTGGCGATATCATTGAGGTATCTTTGAGGTAAGTCAGCACTGGCTGATCGCTCAAGGCGACATACAACGAAGAAGAGATGATTCAAACACCTGAATAAATAACATACCGATACACGCTAATAAAGAGCACTTTTAACTTCAAAACATCTCTAACTAGCAAACGCAGATATAATTTACAAACTTCGAAGAGTGATGTAGTGGCATTGCAGATCACATATGTGTGCGCACTTGCCAAAATTTTGATGCTGACAGCACTTGCTCGTAGGGACACAGAATGCACACTGTTCCGTGCGCTGAAGCCATTTTTTAGCGCAAGTGTTGTGGACACAAAGGAGCACTATGTCAACCATACCCTTTTTGTTGTGCTAGTAACGCAGATAATCCACTGTAATAGGTGTGCCGACTAGTAGCAAATGAAAACAGGACTAAATGCTGTTTTAACATGCTTAAGTACACGATTGAATGACCCTACTCCTTTCCATACATATTACCGCGACGCAGTTCTACTGCTGCTTCTGACGTAACACGGATGCCTTGAGATATAAATTCCAAGAAAAAGAGCGCCAAGGGCAACGCAGACGCATGAGATCCATGCAAAGCGGTGGTTATATGTGAAGAACTTGGGGTAAATTGACCATATGTGAAGCAACAATGTACACACAATCGTAACACTTATGAGTACGGAAAAGTATGCTTGTGAGGAGCTAACGCTACTTTTGAGATAACCCACCTGAGATAACCATCACCTCGCTCCGTTTCTGCGAGTTCCTTCAAAACCTCATCAGTCGCTGTCCCCAGCAGGTTATCTGCGGTCTAAAAGGATTTTTAATAACTGTCTCTCCTGATCCATTTAACACTTACATTAAAAATATCTACTGCAGCAGTCACCATCTTCTGCCAGCAATCTATCACTTCTGCAGATACTGCAGGAGAAGGGTCAGTTGCTCCGTTGATCTCAGATGCTGTAGAACAACCCATTGAGAAGCGAGATGCAGTTGATGCTAAACATAATGGCGATTTGGTATAGGCCAGTTAGCAATGCATGAAAGCGATACCATCTTCTTCGCTCTTCGAAGAATCTGTTGTATAGGATGAGCCCACTTCTTGAGGAGTACTAGACTGAGGTGGTGGCACGCAGGACCAATCGATGCTGCATAAGTCATTTAGCGCCGCTGGTTGAGAAGAGGTAGAAGCATGCGAATTGGTTAGTGACGAACCTACAATGACTATGAAAAACGTGGAGAGCGAGAGTGCTGTCTGAAGTAGCATACCAGCTACATTCTGCTGTGGAGCCACAGTCCCTTCATTCGCACTAGGTGATTTTGGCGATGGGTTGGGCAATGACGCTGCATCTCCGATAAGATCCACTTCTTTCTTCTTACTGTTACGCCTCCCTGATAAAAGCGAGGTGGGTATAAACAACGAAGAGTGGCGGTGCTCCTTAGCAGCAGCTGCTCTGAAACAAGTCAGTACGCCACTCAGGAAACATAACAAAGATGCTTTTTCTATGAAGGTCTCTTCATAATACGATGAGAACAGCTCAAATCAACTTGATATTATATGAAGGTTTGCAGTATATTGCATACAAGTTGCATCGGTCTTTTCAATATCCGTCATATTCTTTCCAAAGACTCATGTGAGGAAAAAATTACTATAAAGCCTAACGGAACCCAGCGCAAACAATGCGCACTTTATTGACTGGCGCAGCTGGACGTACTTCACATCGCAGTATACATATTCGAAAACAGAGAGACAGGAAACATTGGAAAACAGGCAGTTTTCTTGCTGTCTTCGTCAACATCGAACCACACTAAATAAGGAAAATAATCTTACGCTGGCGGTTTTGATACATTCACGATTGGGGAAGAAAGCGTTTGTGAAGATGGTATCTGGACTGATTGAAGGAAAGGGATTGGCAGAGATGGCATCGTAGAAAGGGCGGCCAAAGATTCACCCTTCTGAACAAAAGCCCATTACTTCATTGTTGGTACATATGTTTCAAATTCACCTGAGCCAAAGCCATAAGCGCTAAACACGAGAAAAACTCTGATCTAGTCAGCTGTCCGGGCAAGGTCCGGTTCACCGCCGACCATATGTATGAGAGAACCGGACGAGGTAGACCCGACGTAACCATCAAGTTATAGACTAAATGCGAAGTAGTTGAAGCAAGAGAACATACCGATAGATCAGCCCTGCATGACAATTAAAACAAACCTAAAGCTGTGTGAGGAAGCATGTGAGCCTGGGTGGCACCACAGGCTGTGATTGCATCTCGGTAAAACTGTGGCACTCGCGATTCGTCGAGCAATGCTGGAGGTACAACTCCTCCTCCTCCACTCATCATCCCTATAAATGCTACATGAGTTGCTATTATACCACCACATACTCTTATATTGTCACATTGGGAAAATTCTGGATTTCTACGGAACAAACAAAGTTGAGGATACATCTTACGTTAGCTGACGACATCACATACAATCTCAATCAGACTAGCTTTGAAAGCCTTATCGTAGGAGAAGTGCTGTGCTGTGTTTACTGTTTTAAAGGAGGCAATTTTTGAACAAAAATGCCCTTCATCACCCCTTTTTTATGTAGATGATGCCATTTCCTTCAATAGCAGTAATTCCGGGCTAACAGCAACAATGACGTCACCGCCCTAGCATCCTATTTCATGCGCCCCAAAGACATATGTCAGAAGATGAGAACAATGCCTTATATCAGTTGTGCTGAGAGACTTGAGACGAGGAGAAGAAAACATTTTAGATCTGCGACACAGCCTGACTTCGCATCAAAAATCTTAAATTAGTTCGATTTTCTATGCTGCAGCAATAGGAAATGCACATCCATTTCAAAATCATACGTACTCTGCTTTCGAGATTCTAACACGTGAAGGAAATAATCCGGAAAAGTCTGCATTACATCAAGCAACTAACCTCCTCGACCTGGAGCAGGAATCGGTATATTTCCATTCATCATCACTTCCTCCATGATTTTACTCTGCTGATTGAAACCGACAGACGTTGAAGAATTATTGACGCTCATTCCGCTCCCATTTTCTTTGAACATTGTTGTTACTGTACGATATGTAGTATTGGAATAAAAAAAACGGAAAAGATGCTAAGAACTGGGGAGTTCGAAAACTTATATTAACTATTTTCGCTTACAGCATTGCAAATATTCGGCTAGATAGATCAAAGAACGTGCAGCAATTGAAATATCCATCCATCAAAAATGTTCGAAACGCTCCATCACAAAGGCATCGCAATCACAAATTTATCGATTTGAGCTATCTATCACCAAAGTTTTTGATGCGTCTTCTTATCAATCCCAATCGCAAGACCGACATTGCCCATCTCCCATAAACAGGAACATTTGACTACTGTTGTTGCGCATGTGAAGATTGATTTATGGCAAGACTAACGAAAGTGAGCCAGAAAACTAGTTTGGGATTAACATTCCATTTGCGAAAGTTTTAAGAGTAGGAAATTCTGGCGGGTGAAAATTCATCGGTGTCATTTCTACATGTTTTGGAAACTTGCTGAGTAGAAGTTCCGCAAATTCATCCACTATCTAACTCGGCAAAGCTTTTTCCAGACACAAATTCAACCATACACTTTACATTTCTCTCCCAAGTTAAAAAAAGCTTTACTTTGGCAATGTGCGAAGCTCTCACTAAACAACGAGCCTAAAGCTTGAGGTTCTTCCACGCCACTCAAAACAACACAAAAAGTCGAAATTTAAGAATCCAAGTTCTCTCCATAAAAACTCCCGTTACCATTACAATTTCATCCAATTGTCCTCAGCAAGTCTCTTCTAAAGTAATTTTGTGGATCGTAAGGTAGACCACTCCAAATCTGTATTGACAAGATACAGTAGTAAAGATTTATTCGCAACAGAATAAAACTCTCGGATAGCAAGTTCGTAATGCGTATAAATAATATATGAGACTGCATCACTATTTTATCGTCACTAACACTGTTTACAAGTCGAGCGTAGAGTATGTATAAGATTCTGCGGTGAGGCGAAGAGAACGGATATCGGCAAATGCCGTAGACAATGATGAGTTTTGATTGTCAATCAAAAGAGAAGAAAACGAGAAAAAGTGAAGAAAAAAGTAGCAACACATGAACATCTCAGCAACGACGATATTCGTTTCCGAAAGGTACAGAAATACCTAGCTTCGATCGGTGATGAACCTTATGACGTTCCGAGGATCAAAGCGACGATCATACCGTATAGACCCAGTACCTTAGCAGAGAAATGATTAGATGATCGGTGGAGAAATCTGAAAAGCCAAACTCACTTCGGAGAAGATGAGAATGAGGATCATTCCGACAAAAAGACGTGGTTGTTGAGCTGTTCCGCGTACTCCAGCATCGCCGACAATTCCGATGGCGTAACCGGCTCCCAGCCCACAAAGTCCACATGTAAGGCCAGCTGCCAAGTGAGCAAATCCCTTGTTGAGATTATAACCTTCACTGGATGCGGTGACTTTTCCTTTCAACACCATGGCCACGACCAGACCGTAGATACCGATGATACCAGCCATAATGACTGGGATCACAGATTTCATGATCAGTTCTGGTCGCATCACTCCCATGGAGCAAATGCCAACAGCTGATTTGGCTGTACCATAGGCGGCTCCCAATACGGTGAAGATCTGAACAGGGATATACAGGAAATCTCAAAACATAAGAAGGTCTATCTGTCACAATGATCACGCTTAACTCAGCTTTGAGTGTTTTCGTAAGGCTAAACTTATCGCATAGATTATACCTGAGCCGAGGCTGCTCCCATGTACCCGAAGAAAGGAGCATACGCGGGCGATTCAGCAGTCTGTAGATCGTACGACATCCTGTACAAAAAAATGAGTTTGACACTACAAAAAATATTGACGATTGCGATTTACGTTAATGAAAGTACATCACGTAGATGGCGTAAAAACGCTAGTGACAAATTGAAAGCGACATTAGAGCGGTATCTTTATTACTCGCACTGAGACCAAACAGATAGTCTCTATAAGACCAAAATCAAAAACCGGAAAGAGAAGAGCTATGCACAACGAATAGAATAACATACATGATTGAAAAGAGGATTATGTGGCTCCCATGATCAACGCAACAATCATACCGTATAGACCAAGAACTTCGGCGAAAATCAGAATTAGAATCATACCGACAAACATGCGCGGCTGTTGTGAGAGGGCTCTCACTCCCACGTCTCCGGCGATTCCAATCGCATAACCGGCACCAAGACCGCAAAGTCCACAGACAAGACCTCCACCGAATTGAGCGAATCCTTGTTGCACTTTGTATTCGTCACCGGCAGGAGAGACTTTTCCAGAGATGATGACAGCGACTACTAGTCCGTAAATGGCAACGATACCAGCCATAACCACGGGAATGATGGCCTTCATGACCAGATCAGGCCTAGCAACAGCCATTGACGCGATCCCAGTGCCAGATTTCGCAGTGCCATAGGCAGATCCAGCGGCGGTGAACATCATAGCGGCTGTCACACCCATCGTACCGAAGAACGGCCCGTACATGGCCTTCTCGGCTTCGATAAGTTCGGGATTCGCCGTTGTCGACATCTGCAATGTGCCAATATCATATACCACCCCGGTCGATTGACGAAGAGATAACTGCGAGGACTAGACCGCCCGTAAAAAGTAAAATGCTTTCCTAAAGTAGTGCGTGGACCAAGAAGGCAAAGCCAGGGCAGCCACAAGTACTGAGAACTTAAGCAGTGACCCGACCTGCACACTAGTTCCACAAAAAGTTTAGGGGAAACACATGGATGCATTATCCATTTAGAAGAGAAGAAAACGGCTATGCCAGTATGAGATTTTGTGAGTTATAATCAAAGCTCAAAAACAGGGTAATGCGTTTATCTCTATAAAGTAAGTGTAGTCATTTACTTATAAATAAGCTTATCACAAAAAAGAGATTTTAGAGCATTGACGGTACTTACAAGACACTGACAAGTAGTTGTCCGCTTCCGAAAAGCGATAGTGTGCGACGCAGTTGGTCGCCGATTTCTCTTCGGTAGTCTCCTTATCTAGTGTCATAAGGCTTCCTAGCACTTAGTCTTCAAGTAATTTCGAAAACAATGTGCAAAAAACTAACCCATGCTCCTAAGTTTGTGAAACACTAGCCTTAACAACCTAATGCCACACGTTTTTGAAGAGAAATTGAGTAGAGCGGATAATAAATACAAAAACCGTGTTGGCACGAATGATGGTGAAAGGATGCAATGCAATGCCACTGCTCTTTTGGGGGCAATGACGTGGACTTCGGACGATTGCGACAATTTTCTATTCAAATTGTTGGAACTAAGATCTGAAGAAAAATCAAAGCGACGGTAGCAAGAGACTTAAAGAAGGGCTGCACTATGGTTGATTAGAATCTATACTTCGAAATTGCACTAGAAGTGACCTAAAACCAGCAAAAACCTCTGAGTAAGTAAAATTCCAAGAACAGACATAGCTTCTACCCATATGATGGAGAGGACATGCATACAAAGCCCAAATAACCTAATGAATCCATGGCCCACCGACGCCAGCAGCACGCAAGTATTGATGAAAGGAAAGATCGATAAAGTGGCCGTGAGTAATTGCGCACGGGAGCGAGGGAAAGGCTGCCAGCTTGGAAAAGGGAAACGGAAATGGCAATGAGGGAAACGAACGAATTGAACATGAAACCGCAGTCGCAGTACAGATGGATGACATCGACTGACTTGTGAACGAATGTGACACCGAAAACCGAAGAGCATTACGGTAACAGCGTGCTATTGTCGTCGAATATGTAACATTGAAGCGGAGTGCACGCAATGTCACTCAAATGACATGATGTGCCATTTCCGTTTTGCCGCTGCATGCCGTAAGCGGTTTTTCCAATTTCAGAGTTGATTATTGTCTTCTGCTTTTCTGGAGTGCTACTTAGCTTGATCTTTACCTATGAGCTGCTCGAAATGAAGACATGAATTCTAATGCGGTTGGTGGTGCAGGAAGAGTGCAGGAAGATCTGTGGGGTTTTTTACTACAGAAAAGCTTTGGTATTTCTTTCACGGAAGGGCTGCATACTTTCTGACGTGGATTTCATGGTTTCCAATTTCTTATACAGAAGGGTGGTTGGTGGCATTTTCCTAGCGGAAAGTTAGCATTGCGACGGTAGAGCTTATTCTACGGCTGTCTTCAAATATTTGGTCTTAGGGACCCGTCATACTTCGCCGAGGAAAGCCCAAAAGCGCCCAAAAATCCCAAGGAAGCCCGAAAGAGCTTAAAAGCGCCAAAAAGAGCCGGAACGCTTCCTTCTGCACGTTTTGGCGCTAAGGCATGTGTGCTGATTTCGCAACCGAGTCTTTTTGGTTCATTTTCTGCCGTCTTTACATCGAAGCATAGTCGGAATTCTACCAAAAGTTCGTTTCTGCGGAACCGGCTCTTTCTGGCGCGTTCGGGCTTTTTTGGGCTATGGCTTTTTTCGAACTTTTTTGGGCGTTTTTAGGCTTTTTTCGACAAAGTATGACGCGTCCCTTACTGTTTTTGGCGCTTAGCACAACAAACAATTACACAAATGCACGCTACAACTATTATAATAATCAAAATATATAGCGAGAGGAGAACGCAGCGGACATAAAATGAGCAATTACTGCAGTATAGTAAGGTTATCGAGCCGTTCCATTCAGGGTATGCACTGCTTCTATTGTTTTCTTACAAGGTGTCTATTATTTAGTAATAAATGTGATGACTAAAGTGGGACCCTGCGGTATCAAGAACACTCACGTGAGAGGAAATTCATGCTTCCAGTGCCGGCAGCACTTCCGCGGGTGTACTCTTGAAATACGCAACCAAAAATTTCGGATTTCAAGAAATTCGCAAGTATGGTTCAGTTGTTATGCTGACCATGAAAATGATATCCATTTCGCATGGTAGGGCCTTTTTTGAGAGGTTAAGGTGGGGGCATACGGTCTGAGGTCAAAATCTCAGGTGCTGAAACTCCACAGAAAGGTTATTCGGCATGCTGATTACGAATATCACACTTTTTCCAAAGGAAAACCTCTCCCTGTATGGTCACCGTAGGTGTACGGCAGGGGTGAAAATTCTAGACTTGGCTGGAGTCTGTTCTAGATTGGTTATCCGGCATGTTGATCACAAATATCGTTTTTCTTGCGTTTTGGGACCTTTTCGCAGAGTTACGGCAGGTATATGGTAAGGGATCCGCAGATTTGCCTGAAACTTTGTGTGAGGGGGTTATCTGCCATGCTTATCTCGAATATCGCCATTTAGCATGGCAAAACCTTTGGAATCTACATTGCCGTGAAAGGGGGAATGGCGCTTATCTATACGCTGCATATTACCATAACTCCTTAATAAGACGTTATTGAAGTGAGTAAGCATGATAAACGTAACTAGCATGCTTGAAACCTTTAGGGCTACATTTTGAGCAAATTTGGAAATTTGCCCCACTAATGTATGGCCATTAGCCCAAGAAAATGGCGCTAGTACCTTGCGAATTTGATATTATTCACCCACAGATGTTATGTGAACGTAAGAACATAAAATAGTTGTCAAATTATATGTGGCACTGCTCAGTGTTTTGGTTGTTTTAAAGCATTCTCGCGCGCATGTTTGGACTTGCGCGGTTGAACTGATAGTCACTAGCAAAAGGGAACTCTGTTAAGCATTTTGCATTATGGATGTTGCAAATGCATACGGTATGATTATCTATTCCTTGGAGCATTACTCAGATTTAGAAAAAATGGGGTGCACAGGTTCTCCTTTTCGCAGAAAATCGGTTTCACGCCACAAAACCTTCTGTCATGGCTGCGTGCGCGAATTTTTGCATTGCTAGTAAATGTTCGGGAGTATCGGCCTAAATTTTACTTGCAAAATTGTACCGCTGCACAATAAAGAGCCGACAGCTTCCTCTTCCTTATCAAGATCATTAAGTCTCATGCTGACGTCACTCATACTTTGAATATTATGAACAGAGTTGAGCAAGAGGTCAGGCACAAGTCTTTCGAAAATGGCCCCCCCCCCCCCTCTGAAAGCCGCAAACGACTCCATTCTTCCTTCTTTTCATCTCCGGGACTTCAGAGAGCGACATTCTGGAGGACACCATCCCTTTTTAAAGAGTTTTTGGATTTTTGAAGTCAGTACCCCGATTTTCTGTGATTGCCACTTTACAATCACACGTAGTTTGACGGCTGATTGACCTGAATGGGCCTATTGAAAGGGCCATAATTTTTCTATGGGCAGAGCGTTCGGCTCCAAATCTTCACTGTAGCAAGGAGAAGCTATGAGCTCAATACCCCTCAAAAGCTCAGGCAGCCTGACCTTCAAAGGAGTTGCGCCTGACCCGGTTAACTTTACACCGAAGAATCTTTTCCACTCTTGCTTTACGTGATTCGCTAGCACAAACGTTGAAGATTCTACAGTAGGTGTTCGAGCTTACTTGGACTTGTCGGGCTTTGGGGTGATCGGTGGAGTTGAAGCACTCAAGGTGGAAAACGCGGTGATTGAATTTTGGCAGCATTTCTTGATCCAATTTTTGGGAGGAGATGTAATTTTTACCAAAGATTGATAAAGTATTTCGTTTTGAGCACAAGAAAGCAGACTTCTTTTGATTTTGTGATCAAGTTAATCATGTTTTTAAAACAAGCTTCCAGACGTGTGGAAATGTTAGGAAGCCCTAGAAAATGTGATAGGTGGTGGTTTGTAAAGCTCGTATAGGTAATTTGGTATGCTGATTACGGAAATCTTACCCACCTCACACAGCAAGCCTCTTTGGTAGTAACCTTACCGTAATGATATTCATTGGTCTAGCATTCTTCTTCTTCACCTCACTCAATCGTAGCATCTCCTCCATTTCATGAACGAATTCGTCTTAATTATGACCCCCTCCCCGCAATCTTACCCCCAATACGCCCCAAGTCGGGTTCGCCCGACCCCAAGCTCAACTCTGGTTATGAGCTGTGACGCGTAAAACGGCAGAGCAAATGTGATGCACTGTAAGACGACTTGACATTTGGTTGGCAAAGTTTTGGATCCAGTTTAGAGCAAATCTCAAATAACTGTTATTTAATGCGTCGCACTCGAGTATATCCGCTCGAATAAATCTGGGAGCACTTATTTTGCATTTAGCCCGACCGGATAATCTGCATGTGCAGATTACGATTATGGCCACGTCTAATCGTTTCTGTATTGGTTGTGAATGCACTGCTCTTCATATATCTTGTTACCAACGTTAGCGACATACTTAGCGATGGGTAAGTATGAACATTCTTTTTCGGTTACTTTTTTCACAAAAATGAGTTTAGGGATGAGTACATCGAAAAGCCGACAACGGTGCGACCTCACAAACTCTGTGTAATTGGTGAGTGCCTCATGTTTACATTACATTTCTTATCTATTTACGACATTTTCGGTGTCGTGCTATTTAATGTTTGTTTGCACTACTTTGAACCAGTATGGCAAGTATTCGAATGTTCCTAGAAATTCGCGTCTAACGGTTTTCTATACAATCGTCTTTTTAGCTTGTTACCTTTTTTTCAAAGATAATCTAGTACAGTTCAACAGCAGCCCGCCCCCAAAGGCATCCGTCAACTTCGCTTATAAGCGTCCAAAAGTGCTAAGATTTTTGGTACTATTCCACATAAGTTGACCTAAAAAATGAAAATCGTAAATCTCGCTAAAACTTCGTCTAGGGGGGTTATTTGGTACGCTGAACACGAATATGATATTTATTTCGTGCGACAGCGCCATCCGGTGGAGTTACGGTAGGATTACGGTAGGGGATCAAAATCACGGATTTGCCCGAAATTTGGCCCAGAGGGGTTATTCGACCCGCTGATGCCAGATATCACATTGGTTTTGAACCGTAGCGTCATTTTATCGGGTTACGGTAGATACACGGTGACGGGTGTAAAACATAGTTTATCCCGAAACGGGTGTGTGGCGATTTGGATGATCGTGAAGCTTTGCACACATGACCACCGCCGCGCGCCACACACTCTGCTGCCGCTTTTGCCTAAGCAAAGCACAGGGGAAAGATACATTTGCCGATTTGTGATTTTGACCCCTACCGTAAACCTACTGTAACCATGCAGGGAGACGTTTTCGTGCGGAAAAAGTGTGACATTTCTAATCAGCATGTCGAATAACCCCTCTGTGCAAAGCTGCAGCGAATTTCGAGATTTTGACCCCCTACCGTATACCCACCGTAACTCGAGAAGATGACAATACAGTACGAAACCAATGTGATATTCGGCGTCAGCGGGCCGAATAACCCCTCTGGGCCAAGTTTCGGGCAAATCCGTGATTTTGACCCCCTACCGTAATCCTACCGTAACTCCACCGGATGGCACTGTCGCACGAAATAAACATCATATTCGTGTTCAGCGTACCAAATAACCTCCCTAGACGAAGTTTTAGCGAAATTCACGATCTTCATTTTTTGGGTCAACTTATGTGGAATAGCGCCAGATTTTTTTAGTCTCTCATCACATCTCTCATCCCTTCTCTCACAGTTCTATTGTAGCACTGCGTGTCAACGGAGCGTACTGGCACTTTTGGGCCAGCGCGGAAAATGTAGAGGAATGATGAAATTTTTATGAGAGATTACAGAAATTTGCGCGCTTCTGGGCTTTTGGGCGAAGTCTGACGGATGCCCAAGAGTGAAGTGAGGGATCGTTCAGACCGCACAAAGGCGCACGAAGGCGCGTATGAGTGAGTGTGCGTGTCGAGATAAACGAGACGAGACAAGACCCGCCTCCGTGCGCCTTTGTGCACTTTTGTGCGCCTTCGTGCGCCTTCGTGCACGGTCTGAACGATCCCTGAAGAATAAGTATGGCGCATCCCTAGTGATACTGGTGACTTCGCTTTACAACGTGGACTTGGCGCTCCAGCAGCCTAAGATGCGAAGTCAATTAGGCATGGACTGCCAAAAATTCCCCATATTATGAAAATCAGCTTTCTGGTAACCCTATATATGAAGCGCAGTTTTATATGCAGTTTCTCCATATCATTTTCATGTTATACTAAGTCGATATAGTAGCTTGCCTTCTGAAGCCAATCTTCTTTTTTGAAGCTTTTGCGACGGGACTTAGGTAATCGTTTAGGCTCCGGCCTGACTTCGCTCTAAATCGCTCTAACCTACTTTTTCCCCAATAAAGCGCCCAAATTTCTCTTATGTATCTTCACTTTCACATGTGAGGAGAATTCAGAGATTCAGAGAATTTTGGGCGCTTTTGGGCGCTTTTGAGCGAAGTGTGGCCTGGGCCTTATTTAGACCACCCCCCCTCCCCTTCCCATTTCAGTTCACTTGGTTGATACTCTCAAGAAGCTTTCCAATGTTTTTCTTTGTTCACACTGCCATGTGTGTGCATCCGCAAAGATTTGTTTGAGGCGTATCTGTTGCAGTTCCATTTCGTGATCGCGATGTGGAGTTGTCTCAATTCGCTCCACACTTAACAGATTTTCTGCGCAAACAGATGATTGATCATCATGTTTTGGTGATGAACCAGACAGATGGATATCGGTTTAATCGAGCGTCTCTTATCAACGTACGTTTTTACGATACTACATCTGCACTTTTGACTGATCGAGATTTTCTTACAGGTGGGATGGCTGGAATCTGATCGAATGGGATGTGACTATATGGTAATGCACGATGTGGATCTACTTCCGCTTAATCCACAGATCAGTTATCAGTTTCCTGGTGAAGGCGTAGTGCGACATATCTCTTCTCCATTATATCATCCAAAGTAAGTTCTCGTGTATTTTTGGTACACGAGTGGTATAATATTTATGTGCAGTACACGGGTTCTTCACTTATTGATTGGGCTTAAGCTACTGCTATGATTTGAATTCCTCTTTTTTTACCAAGGCCATTCTTTATTTGACACTTTCCGAATTGGGTTTTTGAGGTTCTAGAATTTTTTTCATTGTGATTCGACTTTAGTGAAGTATTTCAGGTACAATTACTCCAAGTTTATTGGAGGGATCTTGATGCTCACAATGAATGACTACAAGCTAGTCAATGGAATGTCGAATAAATATTGGGGTTGGGGATTGGAAGATGACGAATTTTATCTCAGAATCAGGTACCTTCGTTTGTATCTTGATTTATGTCCATAGATCCATCAAAAATATATTATTGTAGAGATGGTGATTTGAATCTCACTCGCGTTGCGAATCTTACCACCGATCGTTCCAACACTTTTCTTCATGTACATGGAGTAGAACGCAAGCGGGATTACGCCGTTGTTACGAAAGATCAGAGGGCAATAAAAAGGAAGCGAGACTATGTAAGTTCTCACAATCGTTAGCGTTATTCTGCATCTCGTTGATTGATAAAGTTCTAGGTATCGGGACTCAACAGTGTACGTTATAATATCACGGCCCGTCGAATTCTTTCCTTTGGAGATGCTCGAATCCATGTAGTAGACGTAAGTTTACATTGCGATATGACATGGACTCCTTACTGCAAGCTTCCCAAACGATAGTGGTCATCTGAAAATTTTCCTTGTTTTGTTCTTTGTTTGTTATTATTCTGTTATCATTCTCGTATTTCTTTTTTTTTCGATGCTCAGGAAAGTTCTGTCAATGCTAAATTTTCAGCTTTTAATAGTATTTCCTCCTATATGATAGCTGCAACTATTGTTACTATGCTTATTTTGAAACTAGATACTCCGCGGTCAACCTACCATGATCGTAACGGCAATAAAAGAAAGGTGCACGCGATTTTAGTGTTTAGAGCTAAATGAACTCTTTTTAAAATCATAAACGGTGCTATGAAACAGCCACATACATCTCCAACTTCAGTTTCATCCAGTATAAGCCCAAGTATCTAAATCAGCCATCCTCCTTGTCAATTTTTTGCCTAGAATTTCTTAATCTCTTCGCATGTCTGATATGTAATAACTGAGAATATCGTAAAATGACTCATTTTAAATATTATTCTGTTTGTTGTCCCATCCTCGCCTTATATTGTTCACTTTTCTGTTCTCTTGTTCGGTTCTCAATAGTTGTTAATCATATCATCGAAATACTTGAAAATTTCACATAATCGGGTCTGTCGTCCTGTCCTTCTACTGTGATTTCTAGGTGCAGTCACTTGTTTATCTGAGTCTGTCCATAGTGTTTCAAGCGTAAATTGTTATTTTCCTTGACAAATGAGTATAAAAATGATCTTATCATTCAAGCATTTACATTTGTCTTTGGTGCTTCTTTTGCAAACTGCTGCACTAGCGTCTTTGGTCTTCGTTTCACCGTCAAGGATCTTCGCTCTACCAAGTCCTTTGAGATCATCTCGTTACCCGCGTTGTTAGAGCGTTCAGCCAAGTATCCTTAATGACAAGCATCATGTTAAAATAACGAGAATAATTCCTGTGAAAACCCGATATTAGAGATAGCTGCGAAAAATGTCTCGCATCAAAACTAGTTTATTTGGCTTGAATCTACGTCTTCACCCCTTCGGAATATAAATGAACATCTACGATTCATTTATCGTTGAATCTGATAGGCAAATCTTGTTGCGATTCGTTAAGAATGGTTTTTTGCATTTAATGGGGCCATTATGTATGTCCATAGTGTCCATAGACGTGGGCAATGGGGGGGGGGGTGATATCTGCAGCGTGAGTTAGTTGCAATTCACGAACTATGGATTTGACATTATGTATGCAGAGCAATTTCCGAGTTCGTTCTACTTCCAGTTACACTTCTTTGGAAATTATTACAATCCCGCAGCGTTATTTTCAAAAATAAATCATTCCCAGAGTGACAAAGAGATTTATCAGACTTCTATCATCGTACATTTCAAAATCTTCTAAATCAACAAACCTTGCTCATTTCTCGTCACAGAACTCTTTGGTCGAAGCGCAAATGATTCACTTTTGCCCGATTTTTCTTTGCCTTAGCTTCAGGCGGTATTGTCCCATTCTGCGTTGCCGAACGGAAACGAAAGTAATGTCCGTCTGAAAATGAATGAAAAGACAAGAAAGAATAATCGAGAAGCCAAGCAGTAGAGTACCTGTGCTCATCAAAGAAATGGGCATGACGTTCAGCTCGGCGCATTTTCGAAGGAATTCGACTCCACTTCCATATATCTTGGGACTGAAAAGATTCTTAATGTGAAACATGCCTATTCAGTATAATTGTCTTTAATGTAATCAGAAGTAGGAGAAAGATGAATTGAGGGAGAAAAACTCGGAATTTCTTTGCAACGAATTCCCTAAACTGTTCCCGGAGGTTGTCGACATTGTAAGAAGATGCTGTCAATTACAGTTTCATGTTCAACAATCTGAAGAAATTACTGTGAGGAGCGTGGTAATTTTCCAATTTCTCGGCGTCGCACGCGACTTGTTTTCCTTCGTCTCCTATTTCCGGGTGCGTAGCAAGTGGTATAGTCTCCCTCACCCCACTACCCTCACCCTACTGCGCAATTAAAAAACTCAATATAAATTAGAAACGTTGTAACAATACAAAAACTGCTAAGCAATGGCGAAGAAATACGCAAAGTGAATGCGTGAATTTGAACGGAGAGCTAAGGTGCCGTGCTCTGCCGCGACCTGCCTGCTCTAGTTCGAATTCGAATTTGTCCACCGACCGACTAGTGGGGTGAGGGCGACTATATCCGGTCAGCCGACTGCTGCCGCAGCCAGCCGCCAGAGCTGGCAACAAAGCCGCTGCAGAGGGTACAGTAATTACGCTCTGAGGTGCGATATCAGCCTCAGGAAAGGGTGATATCCTCGATATCTATATTATTTCAGAGAGCAAAAAATCCACGTTTTTTAAGTAACATGCAAATAAACAACGGTAAATAGAGGAGGAGGGTTTACTCAAGGAAGATGACCACAAAATCAAACCACTTCAAAAACTCAAAGGAAGCAGGAGCCGAAAATTTGGGAATTGTTAAGTTTCTAGAGTTTCTCGCTTTAACGTCGAAGAACGATCGAAACAATTACAGGAAATTGTCATGGATATGACGGTGGGAAAACTCTGTCAAAATGATCATTTCATACATGGTGATGGTATGCGAGCTAAATAAGGCAAAGTAGTCAATCAAATTGAGAACGTCAATGATAAAAGATGAAATCTACACAGTCTACTTCTCCAGGAATTTAAGAAATTAAAAAACTAATAATGAAAAGACTCGAAACTCAGAACTCGTTGCAAAATAATAAAATCAAAATTGAAAGAACCACCTCTGATAATCTTTCAACAAAACCGCATTTCGAATTCTGAAGCGTCCATGGAAAAGTGAATTTAATTTGAGAATTCGAGAATTCCTAAATTCTTCAACTTCTGCTTCCTCTGAGTTTTGAAGTGATTTGATTTTGTGATCATTTTCCTTTAGAAATAATCCTCCTCTGTTCACCTTTGTTTATTTACATGTTTTCAAAAAACACGAATTTTCTGCTGTTCAAAATGATAGAGATATCGAGAATATCATGCTTTTCTGAGGCTGATATCGCACCTCAGAGCGACGAGGTGCGAGTAAACCTCTTGGCAAGGGTTTTACACGGCAAGCCAATCACTGTACCATCTGCAACGGCTTTGTTGGCAGCTCTGGCGGCTGACTGCGGCAGCAGTCGGCTGCCCGGGTACCACTTGCACGCCTCCCCCCACCTTCCAGAGGAAAGACTTCTATAGATGGGCTTTGGTACGACTAAATCCGATAATGCCCATTGTTATCGAAGTATTGAACAAATTCGGGTAATTCACAGTTTACTAAGATTAAGATTTTGTATTTAGTATTATTATCTTTCAAGAGACTGAACAAAATCGAGCAAAGCTACCAACCTTGGCGGTGTTTGTGCTTCGACAGAGGGCAGCGATGGGCAACACATTTGCTTGCGCAGATGATTGAACCTTAAAATAATTTTAGGGAAAAGACATTTTTCATCAAAAGTATGTAGTCATCAAGAATCTTTGAATCACTCGCAACATATCCACTTCTTGCAGTTTCTTAATGATAACTTTTTTGTTCGGACTATGTTTAGGCTTTGAAGTTTCTCCAAAAAGGTGAAGTTCTTGAAAAAGTACTGTTGAAAGAAAATTTATTTTTTTTCTAAAAGGCTACTCCCAATCGGTTTCAGCTTCTTTTCCGCCGAAGGGTTGCTATGAGTGATGCACAAAAGGAAAAGAAATCGGATTTTACGCTCTTTTTGAAAAACCTTTTTTTTAGTTTTTCCATCTCTGTGTCAAAAATCTCATGAGAAAAATCCAAGTCGAAACTCAGATTGTTTATAATCTTAATGACAACATAATTTTCTCCTCTGCTGTACATCAACTATAGGACAAAACTCCGTGGATGGTGATTCGTGTGCAAAATTACTCGGTCGTCATCGCTGTTTGAAATTTTGAAAGGTATCGTCAAATTTGGGGTGAATATTTGGCCACACTAAGACAGTGACTGTTTTATACCTCTGCGAGTACTTTGGTCATAAAGGAAAACTAACCTGGTGTCGAGGAAAAGATTGGCGAGAGGATCGACAATCATTCGCACTTGCCAACCGCTCATAGCTACCGTCGTCCATTGAGCCATATGGTAGCCAAGCTCGTAAGCTCCTACTACCGTCTCACATGTCGAATTCTAAAGTATTCCATAGTAAGCAAATTTTAACGAAAGCTTATTTTTAAGGACGATGGGACATTTTAAAATATTGAAAAATGAATGCAATTTAAGATTTGCCACCATTCGTGCAAAAAGCACTGACGATCGTATTTTACCATTTGGAAACTACTAAGTGCCCCCCCCCCGAAAGTTCTCTCGCTTCATTTTGAAAAATTGTAATTCTCGCTATTTGGACAAATTTGCAGCTTTAATCTTATTAGAAAGAAGATGCCTTCTAATCTGTAGCACTATGTTAGCGAGTATTTTGAACACTGACTGTAGTAAAAAAAATTGGTGCAGGAGATCATTCACTTCGATCATTTTGAGTGAGGCCACTAAGATTCTGAAAAGAAGAGTTTGTGCTAATCGGACGATTCTAGAAAAGTGGAAATTTTGCGTTTACAATAGAAAATGACAAATTTTCTGTTTTGTCATATATATTTGTTTTATCTGTTTTCTCAAAAATCTCGTAAATTTTCATAGAGACGTCCGATCAGCGCAAACGGATTATCTGCAAGATTTCAATTTTCAGTGGCCTGACTCAAAATGATCGCAGCTTGAATGATCTTCCTCATCCAATTTTTCTCTGCAGCAAGTATTCGAGAAAAACGCGCTAAAGCAACGCTATAGAATAGACTCTTCTTTTTAAGAGTTCTATCAGAGCAAATCTGTCCAGATAGCGAGAGCTTACGATTTCTTGAAAATGAAACGACACTTTTGGACCGATCTAATATAGAGTCAATAAATTTTGTTTGTTTTTTATTGTTGGTGTAGAATCCGTCCAATTTAGTTCGTATCTGTCAGTGAAGCATTTGGCCCAACCGGTATTCCAAATATAGCTCTATTGTTCGTATTTAGATCCAACACAGATTTGCAAAACTAAAAAAGCGTTTCTGTACGGATTGATTTTAACAATTCTATCATAACTTTTTCATCGTTTTTTTTGCGTTCTCCATATATGTTCAAATGCAATGTTAGTTTCATTTGCAAAATCCTATCGTTGCTTTTCTTCATCTTTTCCCCAACCAAAGCTTGCCAGACCTGCATGTGGTGCTAGTATTAGTCACTTCATAGCAAAAGTTCCAACACATCTGGACCCGTGTTTACAGCTGAATAACAATCCATTGTGCAAAGAGAAGATCATCATCGCTCTCTCATTGGCAGATGATGATTCGTGCTAAGCAAGAAAGTCTGCAGAGAATATTCATCGAAAGGGGAAAGCAATTTGGGGTAAGTGTACTAAAATTTGTAAAGACGTTCGCTTGAATCAAAGTAATATTAGGATGTTCCGAAAGTCCCGTCGTTTCATTGTTGAAAGTATTTTTTCGCTTTCTCAACTAATTTGCTTTTTTCTAATTTCATTAGAAGTAAGAAGTCTTCTTCTTTGTAAAAGTTCTTCGATGAGCTTCAACTATACATTCATTGTAGAGAAAAAAATAGAAAAAGAAGACCGCTTAAGCTTTGACCATTTTAAGATAGGTTGCTAAAGATTCTGGAACGCTGCAGAAAAATCTGAAATTGCCAGTACTTAAGTTTTATGACCTACTCTTTGCATCGAAGATAAAATTGTGCTATTATTTATTTATTGCTATTATTTACTATTTAGACTGTTTAATGGAAAGTTATTTCGAGTTTACAATAGAAAACACCAAGGTTGACTAAATTGTCCATTTTCTCGAAAATCGCAACTTTTCACTGAAACGTCCAAACAGCACAATTTTTTCTCTGATCTGATGCAAAGAGAGGTCATAAAATGTATACACTGACAATTCCAGATTTTTCGACAGTGTCCAGACTTTTGGCGACCTAACTTAAAATGGTCAAAGCTCAAGTGGTCTTCTTTTTCTATTTTTATCTCTACAATAAACGTACAGTTGAAGCTCAGCGGGGTACCCTTGCAAAGAAAAACTTTTTCTTTCTAATGAAACTAGACTGGAGCAAAGTCGTTGAAAAAGCAAAAGTTACAAACTTTCAAAAATGAAACGACAGAACTTTTGGGACAACCCAGTATGTTATCAAGACGAAGAGGTGGTAAAATATAATAAATAAGCCGTCTGCCCCGTTTTAATCTATCATCACTCTGCAGCAAAAAAATAAGTAAAGAATGATTTGCAATATTGTCTTGGTAAAGTACAATGTCCGATGACGAGCTATCAAATAGTGTCTGCATGAATGTTTTCGGTCTCACGAATTTTATTCCATGAGAAATGGTTTATAGCAATGCCTTGCACCAAAAGTTATAAAAAAACCGTTATCTCGATTCTAGGGTAATCGATGAAAAAAACCGTTATATTCTAAGGTAATCGCCTGGCTCGATAACTTTGTAAGAGAATCATGTGCTTTTTAGCAGGGATAAAGGGAAAAGCAATATTAGCATATAGCACTTCGGAAAAGGGGAGGGGGAGGGAGGGGTGGGGGACCTCTTTTACTCTCGAAATGGGTCCAAAGTTTTTGCAGTTGAGTACATAGGTGTTAAATTGCGCAACGACCTCGCTTTCATTTTCCAATGAATCATGAAAGGAGGCTTAACTTCCCTCCACTCACGCAGCTGGACTTGAGCTTTTGGGGATGTTTTGTTATTTTCTTTTAACTGTTCATGCACTAAGTATTTTGCTCTTTGTTCCAAATATGGCACGCCTTGTGCCTATTGAATAAATGATTAAATAAATGGAATTTTGTAGAATCTATCAAATTAGACTTGATTTGGAAGCGTAAAGCCCTTTTTTGCCCGACACTGCTCTCGAAGGTTAATTAAGCTGAACTAACTGAATAGCTACGCTTAGTTGCTTTTATGCATCAATGTTTTGGAGCGTTACTGCTTTTGGATACTATTTCGATGACACTTTTAATAGCATTTGTGCGGCATATCAGCCACTGACTTGTCAGAAAAGGGAGACTCATAGAGAAAATTGTTTTGGAAATTTACCATTAGTAGTTCTTCATTGAGATCATCAATTTGTCCTTTCAAGACCAGTGGAATGGCGACAAATGCGGCCATCACTATGCATGACATGGCAAATGCAGAAACGTTTAAAGCCATTCTCACAATTGACATCAAATGCTGATTCGCGTCACCTGAATTGCACTTCTCAGATTTGTTTTTGTACATTTAATTTGTGAATTTTCGTACCTCTTGTTCTTCTTGCTCTCCATAAATATACAATGATAAATGTATAGGACGAAATTCCGATTATCAGCGCTAATAGCACTATTACCAAATTTGAGATCGATAAAGCATAATCTTCAGTACTCACAGTCCACTAAAAAATCAACACTTTAATTACGATCCAAACACGATAATGACGATACCTGTATGAGATCAGTACCCGAATTAAAAATGTTGAAAGCATTATTTGCTGAAATGCATACAGCCACTACGGCGTAAACGAAACCAATGAGCCAGACAACACAACCAATAATAACTGAAAATCATTGCTGCAGTAAATCTAGAAGTATCGATGTCATTTTCTATGTCCCGGATGTTTCCAGATCCGTACTTGGTAATGGGCGATTTTACTAACACGTATGCAACCGGCCGCAACAGATATGGTTTTTCGCCGTTTATTGCTCAGAACGCTCATAATGAAATTCTTTATACGTGTTTTTTGCGGGAACCAACAGAAGCAGAGATCCGTTCAGAACATGAGTCATTTCTGGCATGGGGATTTACATTAATCGTCGTGAAAAAAATCACTCATGCGTTCTTCTCATAGGAAAAATTTTGCTATTTTAGCAAAAACGTAAGCAACGCATCACCTCCAGTGAAAAGATTTTATTCTAATGAAGTATCGTTATTTTCGTTTGAATCTTCAAGTCAGTTTTGTTGCAATTTCCAGAATTATTTCAGAGATGCCAGTAGCTCGTCTACTTTCATGGATAACAATTTTGTAAACAACAACAATAAATTGGCTTTTCGATTTCGTTCGCACGAGTCAGTTGTAACCCGTAAGATTTACTTATCCTTCCTTCTTTTTGGGCGCAGCCATACAGGGTGATGCAATCGACCTCAAGATATCGCAACCTTTACATGATTTCCGAAGGTCTTATTATACAGGGTGTCCCAAAAAATGTATCGAACGTTTGATCGTTAATATCTCTCTTCTGAAGAAGTCTTTTCCCTCGCTTCAAGAACCAATCTGTAGAGCTGGCTTCAACTTAGATTTGCATTATAGAACGATTCACTCATTGCTCTTCATTACTGTAGGATTACGGTAGAAACTCCAAAGAGGGTTTTACGCAATGAAAGGCCATATTTTGCCTCAGAAAGGAAACAAAACAGCCTCAAAACTTTTACACTAGGCTAATTAGAGTTGCTGATTGTAGCTGTAAAGTTCCGAACTTATTATGATGCTTCATTGAAGAGTTATGCCAGTTAAGATGTAGCGGCCATTTTTTCAATGTTCCTAAAAAGTGCGGTTACACCGTTTAGAAGGCTTCGTAACCTCGTGAATAGTTGAGCATTAAACTCAGCGTCCATAAAAACCCTATTACACAAGTTTTCACATTTTTTTTGAAAAATTTTGAAAAGGCAGCTTTTTCCACGTTGACACCATATGTTTCAAGTTTCTACCGTAATCCTACAGTAATGAAGAGGGATGGGTGATTCGTTCTATAGTGCAAATCTAAGTTAAAGCCAGCTCTACAAAATGGTACCTGAAGCAAGACAAAAGACTTCTTGGGAAGAGAGATATTAGCGATCAAACGTTCGATACATTTTTTTGGGACACCCTGTATTGATCGAAATGTAGAGCAGTGTTAACGGAATTGTATACCTGTTATCGCTTTGGAAGTTCTTTAGCCCCTAGCGAAGATGTGACGATTGCTTTTTTGGCCTACCTATCCAAGCCGAAAAGTGATGACATTTTTATGGGTAAAAAGCAAACGATGAGAATCAGTTTCAGCAGACGAAACGAAAACTCTTCGAAACTTTTAAGTTTGCGGCATACGTGGTTCGAAAATTTTCTTCAGCTTAATAATAGCCCTTACAATGTGAGCATAATCAGTCATTGAAAAAACGAGAAAGTTTGGAGTGTAGATGAAAGTGATCGTTCGTGATTTGTTGTCGATGTTTGCCATCGAGCACTAAGTTCGCAACTGATCGTCTTAGATGCCATAAAAACGTCACCGTAGATAGAAGTCATAAAATGCGTAAGCTGCGGCATTAACACCTTCGAGAAGATCATGAAAATTTCTTAACAACTGGTAAAAGATAACATACTGGTTCTTTTCGAAGTGATCTTTACTCGATAGACAATAGGATAGCGGACGGCCAGAAACATAAAAAAGGCTAGCACCGAGTAGCAACCAGCTGAGGCCCAGAAATTTAGCGTAAGTAGTAAAGTGAACATGGATCGTCCATGAGGAATGATGTAATCGAGTTCTGCTAATGTCATGTTCTGGTATTCCTAAAAATATGGTTTTAATGCTTAATTTCTTCAAGAAAAAAGAGCTTACCTCTGGATACATTTTTGGGTCGGGAATTTGATCCAATTTATGCATTGAGACAAAGATAAGTGTGAGGACCGAGGTCAAAACATCAGTGAATGACCTGTTTAGTAGAAGCGAGTATCCCTAGGTGATTTTTTTTCTGGAGAAATCTGTCAAAATTCACTTGAAAGGAAAGGTGACGTACCTTCAAGGGCAGCACCTTGTCCCTGATTCCAGTAATAGTAAAAAATATGAAAACTCCATTGATAATCAAACCAACGATCGACAACACTATCGTCAGCACAGGTACGACAAAGTCGATTAGCTAGAAATTTTATCATAATTGGTTTATTTCGTTGCTGATAGCGAGCGCAATGGTGTGCTAATCCCTCTTAACGCTCATTATCTCTTATGTAAGTGGAGATAAGAAAGTGGCGATTTAGCTACTGAAGAGGCTTAGAGCCTGCTGCTTCTTTGGCTTCCATTCTCGCAAATAAGTAACAAAGTATATAATACAAATTTATAAGAAGAACAACTAACACACTCTGAACTTTGCCGTGTCATAATTGAAAATAGTGACAGAATCCTCATGAGAGCAGTTGAGATGTGCTGTTAGATTGTCGATGTCAGGTGAGCTATCGAAGTTTGAGAAGAACAGCATCTTGGCCGCCGACTCACCACATTTCCAGCCTTATCTCGACGCTCTTGCTTTCTTCTATCACTCGCATTTCCATAGTCGATTTGATAGCGTGAAGCAGTACCGATACCCCTTTTTCACTGCATTTAAAGCATTGTAACAGACAGGCCTGAGCCAGAACAGTGAGACATTTTCGAAGTCATCGTATGACATCTCAATACTTCGATCTTCTTCAAAATTCGACGTGATCAGTTCTTATCATAATATTTTTCTGTTCGACTCATCAAGACGACTTGGTGAAATTCATTGACGGTTGAATTTCGGGTCATCGACCTTGTCAGAACCTGGAAATCAACAATACTTATGGCGTAACGCTTTTAAGGCAATGTCCCGGCAGATTCGCGCCCTGAGGAATATTGCTATGGTGGGGTTTCTGGTCAACCCACTGACCTCCAGGCGCAGTCCGGTTGGTTGATGTTCCTCCTGGGCCGAGAAAATAGCCCTTGAACCGGCGCGCGCTTGGACGACTGACTTCGCTTCTCGTTCGGAGCGGGATCCCACGACCGCTCTTTCGCATGCCATCCAAAGCAAAAATTACAGGCAGCAGGGTCTTCGTGCCAGGGCCTCCCAATTTTGAAAATCTCGTCCGAGCTGCCTTTTGGAAACTGGGTAAACGCCGCGAAAAAGGGCTTTTCACCTTTTCAAAGCTCAACTTCGGGGTTTAAGGGTCGAAAAGGCTCAAGACATGCAAAAGGACGGAAATGCAAAATATGTCGGTACACTGCCTTTAAAGGCAGCCTCGGCAAAACCAAGCCGAGATTTTGACATGGAAGGTTGCTTGCATCCCCAAGCATTAAAGGCAATGGATCGGCAAAACTTGACAACCCAGGATCTTAACGCTGTAGGTTCCTTATCGTCTAAGTATGAAAACAGTGCAATTCCGGTTGCACAGCATGCCTTCCCTGTCGAGAAAATCGCTCTTGAATTTACACGCGCAAGCCAATCTTACACGCACACGGACGAGTTGGCAACTTCCTTCTCACCATTGGAGGCTGCCCGCCGCAATGCTATAATCATTGGGTCCCGCAACGATTCAGCGTCATCAGCCTTGCTCCACTTGTCCAATTTTGAAGGGAAGAGGGTTGAAAAACGCTCGTTTTCGCCGTTTTCGAGCTCTCTAGAGTGGATTTTCATGATCAGCGTATTGAATGACCTCAGGTAAGCGAAAATTTGACTAGGTTGAGATCTGCCGAGCCACTGCCTTTAAAAGAGAGCAGGTCCAGGCCCACTACATGCTGCTCCTGCCTAGAAAACTGCTCCTAAACCCGTGCGCGCAAGCCATTCTTACACGCGCTCGGACGAGCTTGCGGCCCCTCCCATCGACAGAGGCGGCATGCCGCAATGCTATAAACATGAGGGTCCCGCAACGACCCTACGTCTCTAATTGTGGCGGGGAGTGGTCCACTCGTCCAAATTCAAAATAAGAACCCTTAGAAAATGCTGGTTTTCGACATTTTCGTGCTCTTCAAGATATTTTCGAAATCAGCGCGTCGAATTACCTTAGGTAAGCGAAGAAAGTTCAGATCGAGGATTTGTCGAACTTTAAAGGCAGTTTGCGGGCAAAAAGTCGATTTTGAGATTTTGTGCTTACCTGGGCTTATTCCCAATGGTGAAATCGAAAATCAAACTGCAGAGCTCAAAAACGGCAAAAAAGTGTTCCAACACAGGAGGGAAATCAGAGATGAGTGGAGTTTTCCTTACTGTGAAGTCTCGCTCCCAGTTTCCGGAGCGATCTTCTCGGTTTCGAATACAAGTTGAGCGTTCGCACTTGGACGATGGAGATGTCAGGGTGGCTAGCGATCGAGATCACTTTGGAAGCTGGGAGCATGAATTCACAGTGGGGAAGCCCCGCCCACATGCTGATTTCCCTCTTGCGTTAAAGTCCTTTTTCGCCGTTTTCGCGCTTTCTAATGTGGATTTTCGGATTCAACATAGCGAATAGGTTCAGGTAAGCATAAATCTCAATATCGACATTTTGGCCGGGCATGCCTTTGAACGCCTTGGGCATGCCTCATCTGACGCCAGAGATCCATACAG